TCTGCCCACAAAAACTGTTACAGAAAAAAAGTATAATATTGCATTCAAATTTGGAACCTGTAATTTTAATATAATAGTTAAGTTTCTCAAATTTTCGCGCCGATCTTTGTAAAATATTACGGTAATATTAAAGTCAGTCAGGGAGTCAGATGGTAACGAGAATTGACTTGCTATGGTAATATTACCGAAAGTTTGAATTCAAATTTACGTAATTTTGTAAAACTCCCATCTAGTCATCTTAATTGAATGTTGTGTATTGATAAACAAACTAAAATGAAATTTAATTAAAAGTAATTTTAAAATGTAATCTCGCCTTTTAACTGTCGTTATATTATTTCCAAATGAAACATATAAAATAATATAATGACGTAAAAGTAAGTAATAATAGTTCCAATATGTCTACAACTTGTGAAAACCGAGTTACTAAAATGAAATGTTCTCTGTTTGTGAATTGTTATGCGTATCAATATATGGCATTTAAAGAGCCTTAAAACAAATAACATATCGTCTTCTCGCATTAGCTAAAACTGTATAACTTACTAATTTTACAGGAGAGTGTTTTAAAGGTTTAAAACATGTGATATTTTTAATATTAGGTAATAATCTTTGCAACATTTTTTTTTACCAGTTACATTATCTGTCTTTTAAAGTAAGATAAAATTATGTATTAATTTTGTTAAAAGTAGTTAAAACATAGGTAAACTAAAAAAAAACCTAAGCTGAACTACGCTCTTTTGACAGTATTTATGAGAAAAATACTGACGATACCAAATGATTCCGCATATTAACTCAATTTCGAATATTTTTGGAAATTGTACACTTTTAATGCGAAAAGACGATATTATGTTTTAACAATAACTATGACTCACAAAGCGTGTTAAACTCAAAGCTGTTTCTTCATGTAGCTAATATTCAAATCGTAAGTAAGGCAGCGTAATAACGCATCTAGATAGATGAGGGTGTAGGTACGCCGAGTGTCGCCCGCCGCCTTCTGTGATTAGCGGTCCGTCGGCGCCACCGCTCGCCGCCTTGTCATCCCAATTTCATCAGATAGCGTTTTCATTCTAAGCTGATGACTTGTTACGTAACAAAATGTCTCTGGAATGTAGGTACGTGCATTGTTTGTGCATTAGGTTTCCGTTCACTCGTAATTAACATTCGAACTTCCTTCAAACAATATAAGGTTTTTTGTAGTTGATGTTGTTTATTTTTTATTAAAAAAAAAGCCCTCTTCGCGGCCTATTTTGTTTTTATTTTTTATTTCCCTGCCTATTCGCTGGTAGTCTAAGAGGCTATTCCAGTTACGCGCGGTCGGATAGATGAGCTCACGGGCTCAACCTGAAATAATTTGCTAACACTACTGGTGGTAGGATCTCTTGAGAGTCCGCGCGGGTAGGTACCACCACCCTGCTAATTGTGCCGTGAAGCAGTAATGCGTTTCGGTTTGAAGGGTGGGGCAGCCGTTGTAACTATACTTGAGACCTTCGAACTTATATCTCAAGGTGGGTGACGCATTTACGTTGTAGATGTCTATGGGCTCCAGTAACCGCTTAACACCAGGTGGGCTGTGAGCTCGACCACCCATCTAAGCAATAAAAAAAAACACTAGCCCTAGCAAGAGCAGTGCTTCGCAGAATCTACCATCGGATCGTAATCAAGACCCACTGAGAAGATACGGCGAGACTGACAACACTGAGTTCAGTGCACTAAAATGTCAGTGATCACGTCCTTACGGATACATCAGATCCAATAACCCTTGCATTAGACACCTTTAGCTCTAACACTAGAAGTAGGGACCCCGGTAACCGTACTCGTCGAACTCGGCAAAGAGTTCGACATGCAACCTAACCTAAACATCAGGCCGCTGAGTTTCTCGCCGGATCTTCTCAGCGGATCACGATTCCGATCCGGTAGTAGATTCATTCGCGAAGCAGCTACTCTTGAGTTGTTAGGTCTCCTTTGGAGGCGCTCGGGTAGCTGTTAACAAATCCCACCCCTTCTGGCTGAGCCCTTGCTCGCCCACCTGCCCTGGTAAAACTGGAAAAACTCCGGGCCACCAGTAATCTCTTAAACATAAAAAATGACAGTGATTTAAATGCAACAATAGACATTAAAACTAACAAAACCTGCCGACTTAATAGGCAGGGAGCGCGCGTGAGTGCCTCACACACAGACAGTGCCATCTAATACAAATATTTTACTTTTAAAACATGCCCTATTGTACAAACGTTAATTATCAATTCCCTTAAATCTATGAGCATTCAGTAATCAAACGTTTCGTGGGATCTAGTTGAAAATGTGAGCACATACATAGTTGTCCAGAAAAGTAAGTTTTTCTCTTTACGCGAATACAAGTGAGTGTTGCTAATTTTGATGTTATGCAAATCAGATGCAATTTAGAAACATTTTTACGCGTACTTACATAAAAGTTTTAAAAATGTGCTATAACACTAAAGTTAAAACTTTGATAAACTCGCCTCTCAAAACTTCTCTCGGATGCGCTTGTATTTAATTAGATCCGACCTATTCGTATCACTTTGGGGAACGTTAGAGGAATAATTTTCAACCGAGCGAGTGTTTTTGCTTTATAGACCGGCCAGTTTTATATCAGCAACCTCGTCTTGAAAATGTCGTTTTAAAATATTCAAAATCATCTATGCGATCAACATACGTTCATGATTGAAGACAAACAAACATTCGGTGGTAGTGATTACGCCTATATTGTAACCCACAACGCCAGAAATACAACAAGATCTGTTTCTCAACTTTTCAAAGGTTTGAATTTAAAATTATTGTTATCTATATATAAAAAAAAAACTATTCATATAAACACTCAGAGCTGAATAAACACGGTAACCGTTGAAATATTCTAGTTGCACCTGAAGGACGAGATGTTATAACCTGTGGAGCCGTGACATCGATAATTACGGCGCGCGCCCTGACCCCACTCGCGGTGTATCGTTACCTACATAAATCTTATTGAAATTGTAATATTTTTTTATTTTATTGCCCTAGTAGGCAAACGAGCGTACGGCTCACATGATGGCGAGTGGTTACCGTCGCCCATGAACTTCAGCAATGCCAGGAATAAGAATTTCCAATTAGTGTGTCGAAATTAGCAGATGAGAGTCGAGTGCAAAGGGTCTGTAGCCTAATAGAATATCTACCAACTTTTATATCTGCCATTATTTACCTTACAATAAAATCTACGTCTAATAGATGACGGCTGCGATGGTTCGTACTTTATTAGATAATGGAATCCGCTCGACTGTTAATTCCTACTGCTTTTGACTAGACAATAAATTATAGAGAAGCATAGGTTAATCCGATCTAACTGAGATTATGAGGTTAGGATCATGTATCAAATTGACGTTGTGGTGCGGGTGTTAGAATTAATTAAGTCGAAGTACAAAATAATTTTAAATAATTGTTACGCCGGTAGGAGTAACGCCATCTAGCACCGATTATGGAAGGTACTCGTAAAATCGAGATGTACAACGCCATCTGTTGTCATATAGTAGAAACGCATATCGAAAATACTCGACTTGTGAGGAATGTTCTCGATAATTCTAGGGATGTGGTATCGGCTATAAAAGCATTGCAGATGACACGGAAGCAGTCAGCAATCGGAACTACTCCAAGCGAAACAGCGAACGGATCATTTGAAGCGAAACGAATTGAGAATTTTAAAGTGCTCGTTAATTGCTCTAAGTAATAATACAGTCTTAATTAGTACTTCGGTAGAATTTTTTTTATTTATCCCGAACTCCAGTGCTTATTACAATATTTAACAAATGTTAATATATGGTATTATGCAACCGTCTGTACCGACCCATCACACAAGTATTCCGCCATCAACTGCCCACTAGCAATTCACGCACGTCTATCTAAACTAACAGGTGATGTGATGACGTCACTGTTTAATACATCATCTTGCCGCTAATGAGGTTTATGTATATGTAATTATTCCTTCAGAAAGATTGAAGCATACCCTTGGAAAACAATTGTAATGTTAGATTATTGCTGTGTTATTAGTGTATTTTTTAAAATTTAATGGTCGATTGAAACAGCTCACGGCCCGTCTTCTGTTAAGTGATTATTGGAGCCTATAAACATCACAACGTGAATGCCGCCACCCACCTTGAGGCATGAGGTCTATGTCTCAATTGTATACGAATTACGAAAATTTAATTTATGCTCATTAGATTTTTATTAAATGATATATACCTTCTTAGTGGAAGTCATTCGCGAAAATTTATTAAGTACGAAAGTCATTAAGAAAATTGGTACCTACCTGATACAAGTAGACCAGAAGTTTTATACTGTAGGCCACGACAACATACTAAACCTATCTTTCCATACAGTAGTTACTTATCGTATGCTGGTTTAGCCATAAACAATCCTAACATACGATTTTTTATATGATTAAATATGGAGTTAGCATGACAGCTAATTAGCCTTTCGCCATCCGACTCTAGTATGAACTGCTGTATAATTCTGCAGCGCTATATTGCAATTTTTAATGAGGTTTGAAAAAAAGTCCTCCGCGAAAGCACCCTCTTTGTTGATGTCCACGACGATGCAATGATGAACTGCATTAAGTTTTTTTTATTGCCCTTATAGGCAGACGAGCATACAGCCCACCTGATGGTGAGTGGTTACCGTCGCCCATGGACTCCAGCACTGCCAGGGGCAGCGCCAAGCCGCTGCCTACCGCTTTATACTCTCCACAATCCTCATTTGAAGAAGGACATGTCATAGCGCTCGGGAAACACCGTGGAGGGGAGCTCATTCCATAGCCGGATGGTACGTGGCAAAAAAGACCTCTGGAAACGCACTGTCGATGAACGCAGCGGTTCCAGATATAATGGATGAACTCTGCTCCGATGGCGGGAGGTGCGATGATAAAAAGGAGATGAAGGGATCAAAACTTTGTCTGCCTTTGAATGAAATACCATAAAGTTAATTTACGTTTATACTAAATACGTGTATTATTGCAGAGTTCAGAAAGTCCAGTTGAGGAGAAGCCGAGCGGTGACACAAGCTACGTGGTGGCCGCGCGTCCCGTCAGTACTCCAGGACACACGGGTTTCCTCACTGTAGCTACTTTACCACCGGCTTTTGCTAGAAGTAAGTGTTATATTTCACAGATTTCTTGAAAATTTATCTATGCCCCAATTATTTTCATTTAAGTTAATTGTGTCCCTCTTTCACCCACTGTGTTTCTGGTTGGATCTTCTTAGTGGATCACGTTTCTGATCTGGTGGCAGCACTGCTCTTGTTAGGACTAGTGTTAGCCATTCTCTCAGGTTGAGCCCGTGAGCTCATCTACCGGTCAACGCGTAGTTGGAATAGCCCTTTAGGCCACCAACGATTAGGTAGGAGAAAAAAAAAAGGCATTGTCCCAATATTGAGGAATAATTTACCTTTTTGTCCTTTTATGACTTTAAAGGACGTTTCGATTTCACTTCAACAGCGGCGAAGCTACCTAAAAAATCTTTTTATTTACCTAAAATTATAGTTTTACAGCATTTTAAACTAGCCGATTCAGATTATTATTCGTTGTGAATATAATATCCTATTATAATGTTTTTTTTTTTATTGCAGGTAAAGCAAAAAAAGCAAAAACTGAGGATTCTGAAGACACTGACACGAGTAATGTTACACATGGTGATAGATAATTGTATCGTCGTTAAATATACTTTTAAATGAAATTTAAAAGCCGTTTTATTTATTACATAATAATTAAGCCGAGCCGCATTTGCAGCATATTTGTACAGCAACCGGAATTATTTCCACAATAGTTTTCATTGTTTAAATCAATAATTCGAGATTACATTTGAGATATTACCTAAAAGACTGTTTTCTATGCTGAAAACCGGAAGATGGCCTTAAAAACGGAGTTTTTTAAAATCGTGTGCTGGTAGGCACTGGCTCGATGGCCATAATGACCACATACCATCAGATTAACATTATTTTCTTTAAAATTACCGCCCGTTTTGGTTTAAATTATGCACTTACAATACTTATAAAGTTGGCTGAATTAAATTTTTATTTTACTATAATTGCAGGCAGATGATGTTACAGCCCTTTCTAGATGCTAAGTCCAAACATTGTGTACTTTTGGAGCCACATAATAATAATAATACGACAGTTCCTCCCGTAGACACCTCCAGTGGATCTGCGACATGCCAGGGTATGTAGACTGCAACCGGTGCTTTGATTTGGTCGTCCTTTACCTCCATTTATGTAGCTCAGGGGTGTCATTATATTATTTTCTATTTTCCACAAAACAAAACCCACAAGAATTACGCCAAATACATTATTTTAAATTTTGAAAAATGAAAAACCAATTTCAGTATTTATTATGTTTTATTTAAATAATATCAATGCATTTTACTTAAAAACAAATTACAATGAATATAAAGTACTGAGAATATTTAAAACAAAAACATTCGAAAAATAAACTTGTTTTTTTTTCTCAAAAAGGGAAGCATCGATCGAGACCTTGTCAAGAGACGTTTAAATATTAATTGGATATTAAATTTAATATACAACGATAATTTCAGACAGTTATGAAAACTTTTCACATTCTAAGGCAATTGGTTTTTTTATACATTCAATAAATCAGATTATTTTTCCTACTCGTGTAGTTTTAAACCGACTTCAAAAACGTGTACCGTTATCTTTTTTTTTTTTAAATCTTTTTCTTAGTCACTTTTAGATCAATTTTGAAAATTCTTTGTTTTTGTTTTAAAAGGTGTTGTAAAACTCACTCTCAAGGTGGTCCCATTGTTGAATTTAACAAATGTATTTCGTTTTTGAAGTCGATTTACAATTATTCTATTTTTTTAATATTGTCATATTCCTAGTATATTTTTCGAGTTAATTATATAATTATTATCAAAGTAACACGAAATATGTATTATTTAGTAACTATAGTTTTTTTTCAACTACGTTTAGATCAGTTAAACTGGTTCGTATCGGGGTTAAATGCTATTTAATTGCTACTTACTACTTCTTAATTTTAATTAAACTTCCCTTTTAAGGGTTTATTACACATTGTAAATATTATTCTATTAATATTAGGTAATAAGTGTTAGGTATAAGTTTTAAGAGTGCGTTTTTAACAATCTTATGATATAATATTTTGGATTTCTTCTGACACGAAAGAAAACAAGTCTTTAACAATATCGTCTACCGGTCGATAGCGATCCTTCTAGAATATACTTCTTTTATTTGTTTCGTTGGTGTTAAGTGGTTACCGGATCCCATAGACATCTACAACGCAAATGGGCGTCATTTGAGATATGAGTTCTAAGGTGTCAGTATAGTTACAACGGCATTTTATCCGGCATATTATTAACGGTATATTAGACTCTAGTGTTCGCGCGATAAACCTTAAACCTCAATAAATAATTTTATATTTTTTATGTATGACTATGTCATTGTGTCACTTATCTGTCATTGTTTTACTTATTCCAATTATTACACTCTTTATGAAAAACGCAAGCGTATTTTAATTTACTCGATTTATTAAAGAAAATTAATAAGAAAATGAAACCCATTTGCCGAAACATCTAGTCACTGGCCCGAGTAAATCTATAACGTTTTTATTACTCAAATATCGTACACTTTAAAACGCACTCCCAACTGAATTATGTGAGTTCTAGTTCGAACCAAATGCGTTTACAACAGCTACAACATTTTTGTATTGTGGCATAGCGTAAATAAATGTGAACGATCGTGCTGCTTTATTCAATTCCATTATTATATTTCGATATACGAGTCCAATAATTGACTGTCTTGATGTTTGTTTTACGAATGAGTTTTTCAAATTAAATAAATAGAAAAAGAGATCATAAAATTAAAATAATTAATAAAGCCTTTATTTAAATAAAAATAATTAATAATTAATTTAGTATATAATTGGTAAATAATTAATTTAGTACCTAGTCACGAATTAGAAAAAAAATATATAATTGTGATTAACAATTTTGTTACATAGTCTTCCAATAATATTCATTAATGTGCGAAGATAGATCAAATTCGTAAGCTCGATAAAAACTAAGCGACACTGACATTCAAAAATTTTGACATTTTTGAGAAATAAATGCATATTCAAACTGCTTTTTTAATTACAAACTTCTAGCATCTTTTTTTTGTTCACTCGATATTATTTATAATTGAGGCCGTCAACGCAAAAATGGCCTATGCCTACCGTAGTTAGTAACGAGGTTAGAATTTACTTTAAACTGCTTCGTAGGCAAAAAAAAAATACGCGCAAAAATAATGTTTACAATGCCCTCTGTTATCTATCGCCGAAAGCAGGGATAGGCAGGTTTTGCAACAAAATTTGTTTTATTTAAAATAAATTGCAATATATATATATATAAGCACGAATATGAAAATTTTTAGGTTAGGCAACTTTTGCGCTGACGGTCTCAATTTTGGGGCAAAAATATAACGGAGAACTGTTTCTAGCAGCTTTTTTTTTATTGCTTAGATGTGTGAGCTCACAGCCCACCTTGTGTTAAATGGATACTGGAGCCCATAGACATCTACAACGTAAATGCCACCACTCACCTTAAGATATAAGTTCTAAAGTCTCAGTATAGTTACAACGGCTGCCCCGCCCTTCAGACCGAAACGCATTACTGCTTCACGGCAGAAATAGGCAGGGCGGTGGTACCTACCCGTGCGAACTCACAAGAGGTCCTCAGTAAAAAGTGATCATATTACCAGCTAATAGAAGACGTTTTGAATCATTCGAGTCGCGAACGTTTATCTGAAATCGCTGAAGTCCGTTTTAAGTTGTATAGTAGGTTTAGTCGGCTTCGCGTCGAACACGGGCCTCTGGTGTTGCGTCGGGCGGCCCGAACGATTCCCGCTCTGGCTCGACTTCAGGGCACTCTCTAACTTGTTGCGCAGCTCCGAAGACTGTTGCATCATCGTTTTGAATTCCTGCAACAAAACACGAAAACATGGTAATATTTTTAAGCTATTGCATAGCTTTTATCGCGGGCTTTGAGCGCCGCGATCGAATCAAGAAATTCCGTAACGAAAATAAAACCTAACACCCTCCGCGCCGCCTACCATACATATGAATGTGTTGAATGAATGCGTTTAACACATTCACACGTTGCGCTTGTGTAGTGTTTGTGAATAAACGTCTATGGATCGTTACTACCACTAGACCAAGAAGGTAGAGCTTAACGTAACTCTCACAAAGTGAAACCTAAATTGTTTCATTAACTCAATTCGTATTTTAGTCTCATTTCAATTCTTAAATTTCATTTTCATAACAAAACGAAACTCGATCCATATTCATTTTCCAAAACCTCAATCAGGTAAAACGCCAATAATTGTTCTGGATGTGACATTTGATAATTCAATATATGAAGAGTAAAAATTATTATACCAAAATTTTGTAATGTAAATCATGCAGAAAGATTGTTTTTTTTTTCAAACCTGTGGATATTTAGGTCCGATCTTCGTCAGCCATTGCAGGGCGAAGTCGTGCAGCGTACGAACGTGGGGCGGGGCTTGGCTCAGTTCGTTCCCTTCCCGTAGATACGAAATCACTATCGGCACCAGTAACCAGAGTAGTTGAATTCCTATTTAAAAAACACAACAATGGTTAAATTTATCGGAAGCTATTAAACAAATCAGATAAACCAAATATCATGAAGGATTATTCAACTAAAATATTGATTACATTACTTATATTGTACTAGATATTTTAGAACAGGTAGATTCATAACGCTTCATGAAGGTTCATCTATACTAATAGATATTATAAAGCTGACGAGTTAGTTTGTTTGAACGCGCTAATCTCAGGAACTACTGGTCCGATTTGAAAAGTTCTTTAAGTGTTAGATAGCTCATTTATTGAGGAAGGTTATATAACATCACGCTAAGACTAATCCAAGCGGAAAACCAATAAAGAATGTTTCAAAATCGGGGAATTTTCCCTTTTGAGAATCGGATCAGATTCGGTTCAAGCATTCTCGAGAACATACATAGATAAAAAATTATGGTCGAATTGATAACTTCCTCTTTTGAAGTCTGTTAAAAAGCGTGATTTTTGTACCTTAAATAGCTCCTTAACATTCTCTATTAATCAAAAATATTTTCACTTTCTACGTAAATGAAGAGGCGAGTAAATTTTAGCGTTATGCCAAAGTAGCTATTCCACGCGGACGAAGTCGCGGGCAAAAGCTAAATCGATAATTATTTCATTTCAGATATTTATGAGCATTGGTTTAATTTGTGTATTCATTACCTTTCGTTCCATCTTCTGTAATTTCGTAAAGCGTGCAAAGGAAAAATAGGGTTCAGTTTTAGTATTTCATTTTATTTTTTTTATAAATTTCGACGCAAGTGCTAATTCATCGTGTTCGTTTAATTTTTTTATATTGACTTCATTTTACGTAGTCGTATTGCCGAAATAGTTTAAGATTTTCGTAGAGAATTCGCTTCGTAGAGCATTTCGTAATCATTTTTTAATTATATTTTATAGTACAACAAATTCTTACCCACCCCTATTACAGGTGGTGGTAGGGTTGCGATGTGTTTGTTTTGATAAGTAAAATAGATTTGTAAGTAAGAAGAGTAAGATGGAAGCATCACATATTTTAATACGTCGACAGTACATAATTATCGTTTTGTACTATCTGTGACGTCCGTTAATTATTTCACGGCAGATATGTACATACGTGAGCTCTCGCTAATTTAATCTATACTAATATTATAAAGCTGAAGAGTTTGTTTGTTTGAACGCGCTAATCTCAGGTCTCAGGAACTATTGGTCCGATTTGAAAAATTATTTCAGTGTTAGATAGCTCATTTATTGAGGAACGTTATATATATATATATATATATATAGGTTATATAACATCACGCTAAGACCAATACAAGCGGAGCACCAATAAATAATGTTTTAAGATCAGGTTATTTTTACCATTTGAGAGCTTCCGCTGCGTGCGCTGCAGAAACGGTTAAAGTTTCGCTAAAATAATGTACGATAGAAGTGTTCCTCTTTAAAAGATTTAAAAAAGAGTCCGCGACAGCATATGTCTATATGTTAACGTTTTTTTTAAGCTAACCAAATTTGTTCTAAAATAAAGCATTATACTTGTGAACTATTCCACGCGGACGAAGTCGCGAGCAAAAGCTATCCGTGCAGTTTGGGTCATAAAACACAGCCCGGCTAGGGCAGTGAGCATGTTGCGCGGGCGCAACGCCTTTATCGATAAAAACAAATGAGTCATCGAAAGCAGGTACACGACGGCGGGGTGGTATACGAAGGGTGGTGAGACATTGTTATGTTATGAGTCATTTATACTTACCTGCAAATTATAGTACATTATGTCGAAGAGAAATGTGTTTTTATGCATTCGTTCTCTAAATTTCTTTAGTGACAACACAATGGCTACTTCCTTGTTTTGTATCAAAACGGCAGAATTTATTCAAAATAATATTTGCACGTGTTGTTATCAACAATGTGTTAAAAATTTTCACTGAAATAAGAATAGATCCCAAAAAGTTACAAAGTGTTTCTACCGTTCTCGTTAACTTGCTGCGGCGATATGTGGTGTAAGTGTTCGATTAGTGATTTTTTCTTTCATTTTTATCACTAACCCACAAAATGACAAAACTAAATACACTATCGATACCGCTTATCGACAACAATAATGCGCATCACTATGCCCGTCCATAAGGCTCGTGAGTGGAAGAGAGAGCGAAATACTCGCTTCAGCGCTCCGATTTTTTATGACCCAAACTGCACGGACAAAATAATTCTACTATAGTTAAGTAGTACTACGGGTGTAAAGAGGCGAGTGTCTGGCTACGTACGCGGTTGAGGCGGCGCGGCCCGAACCAGGTCGTCGAGCGCGTNGTACGCGGTTGAGGCGGCGCGGCCCGCACCAGGTCGTCGAGCGCGTGCAGGGCGGCGAGCGCGGCGCGAGCGTGCGGCGCGTGCGCGGGGCGGCGGGCGGCGTGTGCGCGCGCCACCAGCCGCGCCGCCAGCGCACGCGCCCACCACGACACGCGCCGCGCCTCCGCGCCCCCGCCCCACACGCTGCGCACCACCGCGCAACACGACGCGAACCGCTGCACACAATACTCATTTTTAAAAGAAGTACATAATATATCAATATATTAATACGTGAAGCAAAAGCTTTGTACCCCTTTTTACAAAAATTGCACGGACGGAGGAGTATAAAATTTCCCACACTTATAGAGAATATAGAGAAAGAGTGCAGAATGATAATATTTTTTTAAATTATGCATATAAAAAACATTACACACACTACCGTGTATTTGACACACGCACACACGCATGCATATTATTAGTTTATTGTCAAACTTTTCTTATTGTTTATAGTCTGTAGATAAATTGACAATAGATTAAATATTATTTGTCTTTATTAATATTTGTCTAAAGTGTGGTCTTGGCGAAGTCTGTGATTATAGAAGTATAATAGTGGAATCATAATAGTGTACAACCTTATAATTTAAATTAATTATAGTCGAATTTCGATTACCCGGGGACCACTAGTAAATCTTAAAACTTAAAAATAATTTATTAAAAATAGAATTCCTAAAAATTATTACATACCTCGTGATCGTCGGTATCGAGACATTGTCTGAAATGATTGATGCAAGGATAATGGAGAGCGGGTATCGGTTCGGCCGCATTCAACACGACGGCCATACCGCGTGCACCCGTAATGCTGTCCAAACGACATTCTTTATCATCTGAAATTTAATTGAACATAAACACAACTACAACTGCTGCCCCGACCAGTATACAAAATTATTATTCCTAACAATAATAAATAATTCCATATGATGAGCCCGGGTCGCAATTCTCAATTCAAGTGTATTTGTAATGAATATTCGACTATATTGAACCCTAAATAATTTATTTATTTATTGTTAACATAGAAGTAGAAACACAATCATAAAGTGCATCTGTGCTTGAACTAGGTAATAAAACCTGTATCTCAAGCAGCAGTGCTCCTCGTACAAAGAATACAACAGCTTTACTTCAGATACACAGTATAGTATAAGTAATTTACTGATTATATCTAAGAAATATGATAATTTTTAATGCACGATAGATCTGTTCTCCGCTGCTCTTTTCACACACAGTAAATTTTGAAATTAAATATTGACGTCACATCGATTTACTCAATGCCTTTATTCGTTTTAAGCTATTGCATAGTTTTTATCGCGGGCTTTGTGCGCGACGACTGAATCAATAAATTCCGTAACGAAAATAACCTGACACACCCACTACGCCTACTATGTAGCTCGCGTTCAACACATTCACACGTTGCGCTTGTGTAGTGTTTGTGAATAAATGCGCGGCGTGACGTCGCACTGCCGCATGCACATCATGAAAAGTCTGCCCATCTCTCCCTCGCGCGGTCTAGGTTATGAGTGTGAAGGGGATAGTTAATGTTTTGCTTTTGTTAATGTTTATAAATATAGCGTGGTCTTATTTTATTGTTGTTTTAATATTAAATTATTATTGTCGATTTATAATTGGATAAGTTGATAAAAAAATGCTATACAATAGCTTTAAGGCGGCAGTCTCCGAGTGCCACACGTGGTTATTTAATGAAGGGATGAGGGTACGTACCGCTCTTGACTCGCTCGACTAGTTTGGCGAGCGTGCTCTGCAGCAGCTTGTCGTGCTGCTCGCGCGTGTGGTCGTGCACGCGCACCGCCCGGCACTCGGCCGCGCGCTGCAGCAGCAGCACGCCCGCGTCCGCCACCGTCGGCGAGTCTTTGCTCTCTTGCAGCACCTCGGTCGATAGGTACAGTATCGTCGGTAATATTGAGAGCGCACCTGGAATTGTTTTTTTTTTAGTTATAGCAACACTATTCCACAATGTGTAGTCTGTGGATTATGTATCTGTCATTTATTTGTTGACTTTTTAGTGGGAACGCGAGGAGTGAAGTTGTGTGATTTGTTTTATTTTGTCTATTTAGTGTTTCTTCAAGTTTAAATGTGTAATGACGGTCGTTTACTGTGATAGTGTACAAATATGGGAAAATGAAACAAAGCCGCTGGACGTGACTTCTCAGGAACCTCCAAAAAGTCCACTGAAAAAATCTCAGTAAATTACCACCATTTTACTGAGATTATATTTCATCCCATATTATCTCATCTCATTTCATTTAATTTCATCCCAGTTGATTAATGTCTCAAATTAATCACCTTCATTTCATTTCATTTCACTCCATAAAAATAAGAATATAAATTAAAATAAGACATGACCTAAAGGTCCTAGTTACCAGGTCATAAAATCCCTTAAAAATAATAATAATTTATTTTTCGAATTTTTGTTTGTTAATAATTTTCGCTCGATCTCATGGAAACGTAATTTTCCAACAAAAATAACAAATCAAAAAACATTTTAAAGCTTAGCCAAAGTGTATTTAAAGTGTTATTTGTTGTCAATTAAAAAAAAAAGTTCACAAAAATTTGTTTTAGTTCCATAATTTAATCTAAATTTTTTAACATCCGTATTCACTCACCCTGGGGACTAGTCAAAGACAGCAACTCGGACATGGCAGCCAAGCTTTTGACCAACAACGTATCGCCATGTATTCCAAGTCCTTTGGGCACTCCTATGACCCCGACCTTGCCTTCCTGCCTCACCGGACTCAAGGAGGGCAGGCGCCGCACTAGTAAGCAGACGCAGACCTCCAGACAAGCGAACACTAAAGACTTTCCCGGCGGAAGGTCCCCTGTAGGACCTCCTTCTCCTAACGTGTGGACCACCTCGAGAACTGATTGGGGGATCGACCCGTCTGACGCTTCGTTAGGTGCCAGTTCTGAAACAAACGCAACACTCTTTACAATAATCCAATTTTGTACACGATTGTTGAGGCGTGTCACATTGAAGAAATAAAGAAAAATGCCATACAGGCTCGTAATGATATCGAAGATGGCATAACAGCTATACTAAATTGGATGGTGTGTAGTTTTTTCTCGTAAAATAGTTACTGTTGCTGGTGGTAGCTAGCCGCGATCAACGGATTTATTTTGATTATTGTTAAAAGTAACGCCATCTGTCATCAAATAAAAGAAACGAATATCAGAAGAACTAGAAATATCGAGAACGCTCCAGAAGTGTAACGCCATCTATTATCAAATAGCGAAAACACATATCGAAATGACTAGTACTACCGGGAATGTTCTCGATAACTATAGACTTGTCGTGTCGACTATATAGACGTTGCAGAGTTGACACGAAGGCAGTTAGTAATCGGATCTACTGAAAGCGAACGGATCACCTGAAGCTAAGCGGAAGATGTGAATTGCAAATTGTGAAGTGTTATTTATTGTGAAGTGTTATTTAAGTGTTCTTATTATTAAATAGAGTTTTAATTTATATTTCGGTGACTGTTTTATTCATCCCCAATCCGTAACATCACTACATAGTATAAAACAAAGTCGCTTTCTGTGTCCCTCCCTATATCCCTATGTATGCTTAAATCTTTAACACTACACAACGGATTTTGATGCGGTTTTTTTAATAAATAAAGTGATTGAAGAGGAATGTTTATATGTATAATAACATCCATTAAATAGTGGACAAATCAATAATAAATTACAGTTTCCGAAGCGAAGCGAGGGCGGGTTGTTAGTTATTAATAATAACGTTAATATTAATAATAATGTTACCTTTAATTTTAGCTTGCATATTAGCATGCAACTGTTCTCTGGCCGCATCGATCACCAAACGTAGAACGTCAGCGGATAGTAACAACGCCTCTATACTGGGTTGAGTTAGAGCCGTGCGATGTATTATCTGACACAGCTCGATAGCTAATGCTCTGAAAATTGCGAGAATAATGAATGTCGACAATGTATTATTTTGAGAGGGATGAAAGACTATTTGGTTCAAGCAATATTTCGCTTAATACGCGACGTTTAACTATGTAATTAAAGATCCGTTTTATTTGGTATTAGCCTAAACAATTCGATGTTTTTAATTGAATTTCAATTAAGTTTATACTATTCAAACGTTTTTTTGTTATGATAAAAAAATTCGCTTAAACCAAATAGCGTTCCAACCCTCGATATGGTATAAAATTATTTATTATTATTAACATTTAATTTCGAGTACAAAATTCGTGTGTTACGGTCATAAGTAATTATTTAGATTGATTATAAAACACAATTATACATTAAAAGGAAATTTATCTAAAGTAATTTTTAACATTAAAACGAGGGTAGTCTACAAAAACATGTACGTTCGTATTCAGATTGTACATGTCAAACGTATTATTTTTTTCTTGCTTAGATGGGTGGACGAGCTCACAACCCACCTGGTGTTAAGCGGTTACTGGATCCATAGACATCCACAACGTAAATGCGCCACCCACCTTGAGATATAGGTTCTAAGGTCTCAAGTATAGTTAAAACGGCTGCCTCAACCTTTAAACCGAAACGCATTACTGCTTCACGGCAGAAAATAGGCGGGGTGGTGGTACCCACCCGCGCGGACTCACAAGAGGTCCTACCACCAGTAAAACCAATTCCAAACCCACTTGTCTCTGAGTAGCCTGGCTCGGTTGTCGGGAGCGTCGAGTAGGGTGACCAGCGAGAGCAAAACAGATATCGTATTTTCCTCGCTCATGTCGCGTTGAGCGCATAACGCCTCCATGCATATACCTAAAATCATACACTCTGATTAATTTCAATAATTTTATCGTACTTTCTGTACACAATTCTCACAATCTTTTTGAATAATCAAGATGTAAACTACAAACATGATTGCCCTCAAATAATTCTTACCAAATAAAAGATGGAATCTCTCATCGACCGGTTCGAAGAATTCAAAGTTTCCATTTTCTGTTCTCGAAGACTTGTTATCTGTGTTTGGTTCCGATTCTAAAATAAAAAGTATTTCAATTATCTAATCTTACCTAAATATTTTACCACAGTTGGCGACATTACAAAAAAGAAACCCAAACAAAACTGTTATTCAAAAGCAACATGTCATCTGATCATGATTCAAACTCAAATGGGATCTAGTATGTTAGATTTTTATTTTAAACCAATTATTGCAATAAACTAAAGCTGTTTCAATAATGTATTATTACATATTATTATTATTATTATAATCAGGTATTTTCATGTTTTATTAAGATATATAAAAATTAAAGTACCATAATATATATATAATAAAATAAGTTGTATTTGTGTGTTAGCATATAGCTCAGATTGTATGGAGCTTAATTTTCTAGGAGATTTAACCAATGTAACTGCAATTTCATACTGAGTCATGAAGGTCAACTTAATGATATTGGTTGCCTTCAGTAGCGGAAGAAACTTCTAATTCTTCTTCTTTTTCTCCACCTTATCCCACTAGGTGGGGTCGGCACAGCTAATTTTTCTCTTCCATTCTCTTCTATCAGCCGTCATCTCAACACTCACTCCTCTTTCTCCTCTCTCTCTCTCATATCGTCATTCACACACTCCATCCATGTCTTCTTCGGTCGACCTCTTCCCCCTCTACCTTGCACTACCATTTCCATACATCTCCTAGTCACATGCATCTTCTCTCTACGCATCACATGTCCATACCACGCTAACCGTCCGCTCCTTAATTTGTTGCTTACCGGGGCCACGGGAAAGAAACTTCTAATTACTATAGTTAATGCTACCTTTGGCAAAATCAGATTTTAAATATAAATTCGAAGATATTTTGTCTAGAAGTTTCTGAGTGTTGTTCAAGCTTTAAAAAATGTGGTAAAATAACCGTCAGTTCAGTAAACACACGTGATTACAGGACCGAATTATTCTTGTACATTTGTTTGACAGAGACAAAACAAGTACAATTTTCTCAGTCTAGTACAGTCTTTTTGTCCCTACCAAATCGTTGGTACTCTAGGGGGCTATTCCAACTTCGCGCGGACCGGTAGGTGAGTTCACGGCTGAACCTGAGAGAATTGCTAACACTAGTCCTAGCAAGAGCAGTTTCTCGCTGAATCTCCGCGCCCCACCCTTCAAACCGAAACGCATTACTGCTTCACGGCAGAAATAGGCAGGGTGGTGATACCTACCCGTGCGGACTCACAACAGATCCTACCATCAGTAAAAAACAAGACAAATATAGAAACAACATTACCATTAGTAGTTTCGTTATTCGGTACATAGTCGATGTCTGCGTTGAACCGTAGGGACGCCGCGTAGAGCAGGGAGGGCCAGGCGTGCCCGTAGTGCGCGCGCGACGCCTCCGCCGTCTCCGCCGAGTAGAACGCGCCGCCGCCGTGCGGGAGCTGCGACGCGAACTCTGCATACAAATAATCATATCTTTATAACTTACTAGCGGCCCGCTTCGGCTCCGCTCGGGTCTTTAACAAAAATTTCAACGAAATTTGACATTGTTTTAGTTTTTTTCGGACGTCCGGTGTAAGCGTGTCAAGCAACGCCATTGTCCCGGTGATCTAACATCAATGCCAATCTTTATAATGGAATAACGTACGTGTCTTCACGAATGGCATCCATTTTAAACTAGTATCTTCAAATGAAGTTTGAGAAGTATCCTTAGTGGCATGTTTGACCATGCCTCATACATTTTAAGGATCGTGATTACTAATCATCGGGCCATATTCTCATCTTTTTTTTATTGCTTAGATGGGTGGACAAGCTCACAGTCCACCTGATGTTAAGTGGTTACCAGAGCCCACAGACATATACAACATAAATGCCGCCACCCACCTTAAGAAATAAGTTCTAAGTAAATGCCACCACCTACCTTGAGACATGAGTTGTAAAATCTCACTTTTAACAGTACAATGGCTGCTTCAACCTTCAAACCGAAACGGATTACCGCTTCACGACAGAAATAGGCAGGGTAGTGGTACTTACTCTACTGGACTCACAAGACGTCCTACCAGCAGTAAGCTATCCATAAACTCACCAGACGGCAGACTGAGTAGCGCATGATCCTTTAAAGCCGCGATCCAATTCTCGCCCAAGCTCTCCAGTTGCGGTTCGACCAGCCTCAGTAGACTCTCGCCTTTAGATTCGAATTCGCCGTACTCGTCGTCTTCGGCGCTACCGGGCCCGGCGTTGTCAATCTCGTTGTTGTCCCGCAATACTTGGTTGCGCCATTTGGCCAGTTCAGCTCCATTGTTCGAGGGTTTGCTGTCGAGTTGCTTCACGTAGCTGCCCGGAGCGCTGTTGTTGCTCACCATCGCCACGATGTATACCTAGCAAAACAATATCGATAGTCAAATTAAAAAGAGCGCGAGGAATATGGAGCGAGAGAGAAAGAGAGAGGGAACTAAAACGAATACTGAAAAATCGCTTTCATAGACAAACATTACATAATTCGGCCTTGAATTAATTGAATATGCAATTTCGAAAAGGGCACATGTCCAATATTTTGTCAAATACGTTTTTTCATATACATGTAGTTTTGAGGCTTACCTACACCCATTTTATAATAATTCCAGTAATTTTCAATTGCTAATTAACACAAAAATATATCTAAAAAGCTAATATTTTAAATTTTACACTGCTTTAGAAAATAATCCGGTTTTTTTTCATTTCTTGAACATTTTAGATTATCAGAGATGTGCCCTTTTCGAAATTTGCATATTCAATTATTCCTCACGAAAAACCTTTCATTAAAATTTAGTTTATGTAATCGTTTTAACTAAGAGGCCTAATTAAGAAACTATATCTTCACACACATACCTCGGCCCAGGCCTTCAATATGGATAGCTTTTCCAATGTGGCCATACTCTCGTTGTAGATGAGTGTGGTGTTGCCTTTAGTGTTCAGTTTGTCCAGACTTGAGACAAGCAGCTGGTGAACTCTGTGAACAAACTCTTCAAGTTAAGCTTGGTTAGCTAAACGACGAGATTTATTTGTAGTATATATCTAAATAAATATGATTATTGTTTCCCAATGACACTTTTTCTTTTCTTTTAAACTCCATGGCACTTCAACAGACTCAAATTAAACGATACAATAATTTTGAGGAGATTCGCCAAGTTGTACAAGTTATTGAAAGAGTCGGTTACTTGTAGGACGTATTGTGATGGAACGTGGCACCGCCCTATTTAAAGGGTAGAACGACTCTAATACAATACTATTAAGACTCAGACCACACGCACTCATGTTATCTCGTCACTTATTTAGTTCTATGAAACTTAGGAACGTCAATGATGGTTGTATTTTTCATGTAGACCGTGGAGACATGGTATAGCATAATTGTTTAATTCTGAGCAAAAAAACCATAGTGTTTATGTGTGTTTAAGTTCGCTCGTACCGCCTGAGGTCGTTGATGTCCCTGGCGACCCCGCAGCCGATCCAGGCGGAGCACACGTCGCACGCGGCCGCCGTCACGTGCGACGCCGTGTCGCCCGCGAACGCGGGACGCACCGCCGCACCCACCTGCACAGATAATATAAGGTTATTTTCAAACGTAAATGCTACATGACTTTTTGGCGGGAACGCGAGGGTGAAGTTGTGTGATTTGTTTTATTTTGTCTATTTAGTGTTTCTTCAGGTTTAAATGTGAAATAACGGTAGTTTATTAACTGTTTAATATCTGTGAAAGTGCACAAATGTAGGAAAATGTAACAAAGCAGCTGGACGTAACTTCACGGAATCCTCCAAAAAGTTCACTGAAAAAATCTCAGTAAATGACCACCATTTTACTAAGATTATATTTCATCCCATATCATCTCATTTCATTTGATTTCATTCCAGTTGATTAATGTCTCAAATTAATCATCATTCCATTTCACTCCAATTTATCAATTTTAATAAAATTAAGAATATAAATTAAAATAACACAGCCCACTGAGTCTCTCGCCGGATCTTCTGAGTGGGTCGCGTTTCCGATTCGGTGGTAGATTCTGCGAAGCACGGCTCTTGCTAGGGTTCGTGTTAGCAACGTCATCAGGTTTGAGCCCCGTGAGCTCATCTACTAGTTAAGGCTACGCTGATATAGCCTCTCAAGGCTCTCAGCTTAGGGAGGAAAAAAAAACAGATTGCTTTTTCAACGTTTTCACTGTTCTAAATAGGCAGACCGACTCTCGTCCGTGTGTTCACCGACCTGAGCTTGGTACTGTTCCAGCAGCAGATGTCCGGGGAAGTCCGGTTCGGGCGCCCGCGCGTACTGCTGTATGATCATCTGCAACGTGCGCAGACCGCAGAGACGCAGCGCGTCAGACTCACCGGTGGCGCCGACGAACGCCATGCGAACCAAATCCGACAGATGGAACGATAAATAGTCACCTGACAACAAAATTAAAAATCATTTACGAGTTCCTTAAAACTAAAACTGCATACTTTATAAATTTATTAAATCAAAATGCAAGGTAGTTTAATAACCTAAAAGTACATGTTATTATCCGCAACACGCTTCACGTCAGATTATAGAAACAAAGTTATCAGCAACATGCTTCGTCAACAAAATTATTGATATTTACAAGAGTGGCATATTTAATATATTACTCTCGGGCGGCTATTAGTCAAAAAATACAGCGCAGTCAATAGTTTCCACAGATTAAAAAAATGAATACATATTAACTAATTAAATATGACATTAGTCGATTATACAACTACAGTTAGCAAATAAAACAGTTTTAAGTCAATTTCCCAATGGTTGTATATTATGCAAAATGCCAAAAAGTAGAATTTTGTCGGTTTTTTTTCTTTTCTTTTGACACTATTGTTATACAACCACATCATGCGTGTTGCATTGTCTCTCAGACTAATAAAAAATAATTATGAATATATAAACGTTTTACTCACTATTAGGTTCCGCGATTTGTTTCTCCTTTGCCTTGACAAGATCAAAATGTGCGTTGTCGCCGGTTGATTCACAAGCGCCCATTATCTTCTGTATACACTCCATTGCGAAAACCTATACAACAATTTTGGTACGGTTTTTTTTTTAGAATTAAAAAAAAATTATACAATGCTGCCAATATCTTTACAACCATAACCAGAAACTGAACGGGGTAACACAAAATCTAGAACGTAAGACAAAAATATAAGGGCTTCAGACACTGTCACATGAGGGAAGAGCACGGGGGTGTTGCAATCATCATATCATATCATTTCGAAGTCGTGGTGGCCTAAACAATAAGACGCCCGGTGAATACATATCCAGCGATACATCAGTGTTCGAATCCCGCGGGCAAGTATCAATTTTTCTATTGAAATACGTACTTAACAAATATTCACGTTTAACTTCCACGGTGAAGGAATAACATCGTGTAGTAAAAATCAAACCCGCAAAATTATAATTTGCGTAATTACTAGCGGTAGGACCTCTTGTAAGTCCGCACGGGTAGGTACCAAAACCCTGCTTATTTCTGCCGTGAAGCAGTTTCGGTTTGAAGGGTGGGATAGCCGTTGTAACTATACTGAGACCTTAGAACTTATATCTGAAGGTAGCTGGCAGCATTTACCTTGTAGATGTCTATGGGCTCCGGCAACCGCTCAACACTAAGTGGGCCGTGAGCTCGTCCACCAACCAACCTAAGCAATAAAAATTGACGTACACGTGTCGGCCACCGGGACTGCACGGCCGGGTGTGTCGACTGATCCGTGTCCGCGTGGAACTCCGCCTGGTCGTCGTCGCCTTCCGCGTCGAAATCCGTGTCAGCGTTGTTGCTGTCCTCTACGGAAACATTCAATTACCCTCATTTACACCTTTAACTAAATATACACTCTAAGAGAAGCAACCGAGCAGGCAAAATTGTAATGAAATTAAAAAGTAACATAATGCATTCAATTTATTTATTTCCTTACTTGCTAGATCAAAAAATTAAGAATCGACAACATTAAATGCATCTTTATGAAAAATAATGATTTGACATTCCTTACACTTTTTCAATAATTTTATTATGTTTCATATTAACTTTTTACATTTCCATAAAATATTGAAGCCATTATAAATTTATTAGAGAGCAGCCAACACACTGGGTACTGCTGTGCATGTAAAGAAATGCGGTTTGAATGCTGTCCACGTAAAAACATGCGGTCTGAATATAAACAGCTGTAGCCATCGAAACAAGATCACAGTATCTGCAACACTTGATTGAGGTTCGCGTAGCAGTAGCAACGTTGACAACGACCCTTAAAGTCGGCCTGGAGCAGAGTTCATCCATACTACCTGGAGCCACTCCGGTCATCCACAGTGCGTGAGATCTTTTCGAGCGCTATGACATGTCCTTCTTCAAACGAGGCTTGTGGAGAGTACAAAGCGGTAAGCAGCGGCTTGGCTCTGCCCCTGGCATTGCTGAAGTCCATGGGCGACGGTAACCACTCACCATCAGGTGGGTCGTATGCTCGTCTGCCTACAAGGGCAATAAAAGAAACAGAAAAAATGATTTCCAACATGGAATAACTCACCCAGCCGTACAGTGAGTACTCGTTTGGCGAGAACGATCCAGTCTCTGATCGTGTTCGAGGAAGCAGCGGCCAACAGGCAGCAAGTCAGCGTGTCTTTAGCGTACGACAGCGCGGTCTCGTCTCGCTCGATGTCCAGAAACGCGAACAGGGCTCCCGGCAGACCGGTGTCCGTTATCACTACACCTGGAGGCCAAAACTATATAATACTAGCCGTACTCGCCCGCTTCGCTGAACATTTAAAACTAACATTATTATTTATTGTCATTATTATTAGAGAGTCCAACGCTCATATAAATATTAGCCTATCCATTAACTACATGTATTTTCTATATGGATACCAAGATTCAAGTCAATCGGTTCAGTAGTTATAACGGAACATCCGTAAAAACCCCTGTAGATTTATATATTAGTATAGATATAGATTAGTATAGATTATCTGTGTTATCTATATATTAATACGTGAACAAGGGACTTTTTGGCGGGAACGCGAGGAGTGAAGTTTTTTTTTTTTTTTTTTTACTCTCTTTTTATCTACAATCAGTATCCAGTACTTTTATTAGATGAGTTGAAATTTTCTAAGTCAAAGGAGTGAAGTTGTGTGATTTGTTTTATTTTGTCTATTTAGTGTTTTTTCAGGTTTAAATGTGTAATAACGGTGGTTTATTAACTGTTTAATATCTGTAAAAGTGCACAAATGTGGGAAAATGAAACAAAGCCGCTGGACGTCACTTCTCGGGATCCTCCAAAAAGTCCAATGAAAAAGTCTCAGTAGATGACCACCATTTTANTCAGGTTTAAATGTGTAATAACGGTGGTTTATTAACTGTTTAATATCTGTAAAAGTGCACAAATGTGGGAAAATGAAACAAAGCCGCTGGACGTCACTTCTCGGGATCCTCCAAAAAGTCCAATGAAAAAGTCTCAGTAGATGACCACCATTTTACTGAGATTATATTTCATCCCATATCATCTCATCTCATTTCATTTGATTTTATCCCAGTTGATTAATGTCTCAAATCAATCATCTTCATTTCATTTCATAATTTTTCATAAAAATAAGAAAATAAATTAAAATAAGACATGACTTAAAGGTCTCAGTTACCAGGTCATAAAATCCATTAAAAAAAAAAACGTGAACAAAAACTTTGTACCCCTTTTTACGAAAATTTCGCGGACGGAGGAGAATGAAATTTCCCAGACTTACAAGAGAATATAGATAAAGAGTGCGCAGAATTTTAGTATTTTTAAACCGTTAATAATTGTTTTAATAAATTTCTTTATGACTACTAAAATATGGATGGCTTTTACGAGCTGTAGTGTTACCGGTTAAAAAATAATGAATCAGAAATTTTATCGATCTCTATAAGAAGTGTGGCTTAATTATTTCTTCTGTCGATTACAAAACAACACTGAATATGTATCATAAAATTTATCTCAGTCTTGTAGTGTCCAAGATTATCTTAAAACTTCAACTAGCCAGTATTTCAACAGTAGTATTCTTGACATATTATTATGTATGGTCATGAATACTGAAGATGGAAATTTCTAGTGAGCTTACCACAGTACGGTTTGGCGGGCACGTGATCTTTCGCGAGCAACGCGTACCGACAAACTTCTAAAGCTTCCTTCTGAGACAGTTGTCGGAGGCAGCAGAGCGCCGCCCGACGTACTGTCAGCTCCGGGTTCGATAAGTCGTGCTGTTAACGATAATAACACCTATTAAAATAACCGTATTACGAAAAAATCTTAAGGATCGTAGTATCGTCTGCGGTTTTAGCGAGTTTTAATCTCGCCTTTATTATTTTCATAGCATTATTTTAACACCGGTCCTAAAATTTATCTACTTTTTCTGAAACAAATTCTCAATCATATGGTCTCAAACTAGGATTTCTTATATGGAAACCAGAAAGTAATATCTGATATACACATTAGTATACATTAATATAATATATAAACTTTAAGACAAACATCAAACCAACCCTATTTTATCGCACAACTGTTGTACTGATATGGGAATCAAACGCGAACTATCTAACTATTGTACCACCGAATCACTCAAGTTCATTTAATACGGTACTTAGCGAAATATTAAATTAACACTTGAGAGGTGTCAAGAGACACCCAGATGGAACGAAGTTCCTTTCGATTAATTAGTGAAGGAATCTTAATAAAAATGTATTTATTTTAGTTATAATAATATTTTTTATTATTTATTATGTACAAAAAACCTGTACACACTCAACAAAAATAATCGTCGCGACACCACACTGTTCAATGCGAAATAGAAAGATGAAACGAAAATAACTGGCTTGTTTTCTATGAGAGTGAGAGAGAGTGAGAGAGAGAGAGAGGGGGGAGAGGGGGCGGAGAGANTGAGTGAGTGAGTGAGTGAGTGAGTGAGTGAGTGAGTGAGTGAGTGAGTGAGTGAGTGAGTGAGTGAGTGAGTGAGTGAGTGAGTGAGTTAGTGAGTTAGTGAGTGAGTGCGTAAGTAAGTGAGAGAGAGAGAGAGAGAAACACGCGCACGCCGCACGGCTTACAACTATAGCAAAAAGTGTCGTTACAACTTTTGGTCTTAATTTTTTCCGTCTAGCCCCCTTTCGCAACGCGCGAAAAAGAACTTCGTTCCAAAAGCACAGGTGATCATGATCTTCACGGTAAAGTACTGTAAAGAGAGGTTCCATAGATCCGTAATCTTACAAGAGTTCAAACGAATTTTTTCCTTATGAAGAGGTTTTTTTTTAATTTAAAGTGACCTCGTGTGTACTTACGCAGAGTTTGGGCACGAGAGTGTGCAGGTTGATGTGCGCCGGCGCGAACATCTGCAGCTGCTGGAGACAGCCGATGGCCTCAGCGCGCGCGCCGCCGCCGCCGCCCTCCAGCAGCGCCGAGCACGCGCAAACGAATCGACTCACGGCTACCACTACGGGAAAATAAAGTGAACCGGTTTAAAAAATGTTGTTAGTCAAACCAAATTTCAGTTCTTCAGTCAAATGTGTCAAGTCTTCTTGACCACTCGTGTATAATATCACATCATATATCACGTTGCGTCATATCACAGTTTCATTTGGTGGCATTAAAATTAGAGACTATGTCAAAATTCCCTTTAGTCTAGTCAACAAGTTCAAAAACGTGAAAAATAAAGATAAAGGTCCTAAAAATATGAGCGATAGCTAATTGGATTCGGAATCACCTCTAAAAAAATGTTTTTGAAGGATTTTAGTGCAGGTAAAAAATTGCAATTGTTATTAACAAAATAAGATGGGAAAAAAATGTTTAGTTTTTCGTTAATAACTCGAAAAATATTAATAGGACCTCATATTTTTAGGACCTTTATCTCTATTTTTCACATTTTTGAACTTGTTGACTAGACTACTTTGGCTGTTTGAATATTTGAGACTTCCCGTCAATTATCGCATGACACGTATACTGTCATATCGCTTTTTTTTATTTATTGCTTAGATGGGTGGACGAGCTCACAGCCCACCTGGTGTTAAGTGGTTACTGGAGCCCATAGACATCTACAACGTAAATGCGCCACCCACCTCGAGATATAAGTTCTAAAGTCTCAGTATAGTTACAGCGGCTGCCCCACCCTTCAAACCGAAACGCATTACTGCTTCACGGCAGAAATAGGCAGGGCCGTGGTACCCACCCGCGCGGACTCACAAGAGGCCCTACCACCAGTAAAGTCTTTAAGCAAGACTTTAAGAAATACATATACACCACAAAATTACTTCTTGTTTTATTCAGTGTTAATATTTACCTGTGCTGCTTATGAGTTCTAGTAAAAATTAACACCACGTAATCAATATGTGATTTAATTAATAAATCCGCTGACCTTGCAACTCGGGTCCGAGCACAGTAATGAGCGCGGCGAGCAGCCTGGCGACGGTGCGCAGGAGTAGGTGATGGTAAGGCGGAGCGGCGAATATCAGCCTCAGCGCCAGCGCTAGCGTCCACTCGACGTGCGCTCGGAACATCGGCCCCGAAGCGTCCGCCAGCACCGACAATGCGTGTACTGACCACACCTACAAATTTTATTTCAGTAAAAATGTTGCCAGAATACTGTAACCAACACCGGTTAATTTTACCGGTAATTTTAGCAGAATTGGCAAATATCTGAAAACACACTCGACGGTAAAAATTATATGAAATTATACATAGCAATATTTTTGCTAAAACCCTCAATAGTTCATAAGTTTGCAAAATACCACAGCAAACTAATCAATTAAAAGTATCTAATTTTAATATTGTTTAATTTTTTAAGATTAATAATTTTAAATAAAAATTGTTTACGTTTACACAAATTAATTTATCTTCAACTAGCAACCCGCCCTCGCTTCCCATCAGAAACTGTAATTTATTCATTTCTCCACTATTTAATGGATGTTATTATACATATAAACCTTCCTCTTCAATCACTATCTATTAAAAACCGCATAAAAATCCGTTGCGTAGTTTTAAAGATTTAATCATACATAGGGACAGATATAGGGACAGAGAAAGCGACTTTGTTGTATACTATGTAGTGATTCAACATAGAAGATGTTGGAGTTTAGTTAAAAAAATTATTGGCGATAACAGCGCACAATGCAAGTCATGATACTGTTTTATGAAATTTATTATACAGTATACATATAATATATATTTACAATACAATATATATTTAATATACAAACGGCATGACAATAAAGCGTTTCATATCTATTGAAAATAAAAGTTGTATCAATAACCTGAAGCTCGACAGAAGATGCATCCTGCGCGAGTGCTCTCAGCACAGGCAACGCTGTAGCACTTGAAGCGGTGCCTCGAGCCCGGAGTACAGCGCCGGCAGCGGCTGCAGCAGCCGCCCGCACTGATCGATTGGCGGCTGTACGTGCTAAAGCTATCACTTTCTCGCTCAGAGCTTGGCTTTCCGCTTCAGTGATGCAGCCGCAGAGTCGACCCGCACACGAAGCCGCAGCTGCTCGTACTGAGGCGCTGTTCGCCGATAGACCGTTCTAGAAAAGTGACACGTTAATCTTCCATATATATAAAAATGAATTGCTGTTCGTTAGTCTCGCTAAAACTCGAGAGCGGCTGGACCGATTTGGCTAATTTTGGTCTTGAATTATTTGTGGAAGTCCAGAGAAGGCTTAAAAGGTAGACAATTAAGAAAATTCTCAGAATTAAATAAAAATATCAATTTTGTTTTCCCTTTGATGTGTCCCCCGTCGGACGGATCCTTTTGTTTGTTTTAAGTTTATTTTATACAAAACTTTAGGTCTTTTATTTATCGATTGAGGCACTACGTAGTCTGCCGAGTCAGCTAGTCTTGAATAAAAATAAAAGAGTGTGGAACGGAGCGTTAAGATGTGAGTGAGAGAAAGAAAGGGAGAAGAGAATGACAGAGAAAATGAAGATGGCGAAGACGGTTGAAAAATGAGCAAGACGTAGTAAGTGTTAATTATTAATTATTATTATAACTGAAGATTTTAGAACAGTATAAATTTTATTTTATGCGCTGCGATCACTATTCTACAAAAATGTATCTTGTCTAGAGTCGAGCACAACAGCACATATGCATGACTACATTTATATGGAACATCTTGTTCTAAAGTCTTGGACTAAATTGTTGTGTAGGTTTTGACTACCCCTTGGAATTTCGAGGTCTTCCAGACAATTTATTAAGATAATTATTTAATGAAAAATCACAATAATGATTTACAATATTATTTATATTACAAAACCAACTATACAATTGATATTTAAATAAAAGCTTTATTCCTTGAATACATAAATGGCTACGACCAAATTAAAAATTGACACCAACACTACTTACAATAATCAACTCTGTGGCAATATTCTTCACGGGATCTTGTCCTAAAGAAGTCTTAGTCTCTGCTAAAGTACGTAGAGCCAATAATAGAGCTGTATACACATTCACTTGTATTGCTTCCTGGCGACCACCCTTAGACATCTTAATGCATTCCGCGAAGTGTTCTAGCATTTGTTGTCTATAAAAATAAGATAATAATAATTATATCGACCGTATTTATGTTAAAACGTACAATCAATATTTATAATAATCATTTTAAAAAAAATCCTATTACAGTTGATAAAATTAAAAGCCTCAAGTTCTCAACGGTGGGTTTGTATTTGCTATAACATGTGTTCAATTTTAGACAGTTTTAGTTGAAATCCCTTTGCATTGATTTTATCGATAAATTAAAAATTAAACTATACCTGTGTTTATTAGCGGCTCTTGCGAATACTTGCGGGAACAGTACGACGGACGCGTCTATAACCGCGACGCCCAGTGGTTGCGCACCCGTAGTGCCGCGGTACAGACAACACGGATCGTGTTCTAATGCTCCTGATCCACTTGCACTCAGTGGTGATACGAGCTGCGAAAGTAATATATTTGGTAAATAAACAAATTTAACGTGTGATCTTGCGTGACAAAAACCCGTCAGATTTAAAAAGTTTATAACAGAAGACTAATGACAGGCAAAATTTTGGTTGAACCCGCTGCGGATCGATCACTTATGTACATATTTGTCAAGGTATTTTAGTTTAACTTATGACGTTGGCAACTAGTTTTAAATAAATAAAATGTAATTCCTATAGTGTAGACAAGGGCTTAGTTTGGGTGTTCATTAAAATGCGGAATTCGCGGAGTCCTACTAGGTTAGTAGGAAGAGAACTATTTTAAAACAGTATTATTTTTAAACTAATCTATATCGATAATATTAAAATATTGTGATCGTACTTGTTCCTCAATTTCTGCATGATCGGTTTCATAAATCCAACCCTCTTCGCCAAGAAGTATGACGTCACGTGGATGCATGGCATTCCTTAGCATACCTGTCGAATTGAATATTTTACATTTTTCAAAAATCTTTATTTGCATTTGATTTGTGTCATCGTATAATTATCTGCTTAGCATTTGTATTAAATACAACACTGATTAAAAATATAAGCTGCACCGTGTCTTCAACAGTTTCACATTTACAGATTCTAATATTTATTTTCTTATATTACAAATTAGATGTATGAGTTAATTTGAGTCTAACCCGGTGTTTCCCAACGTTAGGTCCATGCCTCACAAGGGGGTAATTAGATAATTAACGCACTAAATTAATATAATATATAATATAATAATTTTGGATTTTAATTTCAGTTTTTCTATAATATGTTTTGAAATATTACTTACTGTGTTTGGTAACAATTTCATAGTGATTTCGTCCTAAAATCTATCATTTATGTTTCTTAAGTAAACAAATCAATTTTTTATTGTTAAAATTATTTATGGGGGGGCATAAAAAATCTTAGAAACGTTACAGTGGGGCATGGCACAAAAAAAGGTTGAGAAACACTAGCGTTCTTACCGGTAGCGACATTAGCCCCGCTCGGATCAGCGGCGCCGGCGACCTCGGCGGCGAGGAGTCGTAGCAGCGGCGCGGCGGAGGGCCCGGCGCCGCCCAGCGCCCCGCACGCCTGGTACAGTCGCAGCCGCAACAACGCCGCCGGGGCCTTCAGTGCGCCGCCGTAACTGCGGACCACGCTGTTCACACTAGAACAAGACCGATCACATAATAATTGAATATGCAATTTTGAAAAGGGCATATCTCACAAATATAAAATATCTAATTAAATGTATATACTGACGTTTAAGAGAATAATTCCAGTAATTTTCAATTGCTAATTAAGACTAAAATGTATCTCAAAAGTTAATATTTTAAATTTTCTACTGCTTTAGAAAATAATCAGTTTTTTCATTTCCTGAACATATTATTACATTTCAGAAAAGTGCCCATTTCGAAATTGCATATTCAATTATACTTTGTTTTTGAACCATAAATACCACCAAATAACTCAAGACTAATGTTAAATTTGGACTTTAACTGCTTTTTAATTTATTGATTAAATTTATAAAAGCCGAAATCTGTATTATTGATTCACATATACTTTAGCACTTTAGAAGAAGACGACAACGGCACTGTTCGTTGTGTTTATAACAAGCTATTGTTATTGTCTGAGTAAAATTTTAATGCCACCAATTTTATCAATAATAATTTTATTATTATTTTTGCTTAGAACGGGGTTGGTTGGTACTTGTACTGCATAAAGAGAGTTACAGGTAAATTTTATTCCATTACATTCGGCAGTATATTATAATAATCTTCAATAACTTCATAATTTTTTTTAGGCCCTTTTTCATTATGAACAAAAAACAATATTTTTTAACTAAGTTCATATTAAACAGTTCCTGACACTTTGAGAGTCAATACCTTGAGAAAACAAAATCGAAATCACTACTGAATCTATCGCACACGAGAAACAATATGTCAATAACCCGGTTTCTCGCCGGATCTTCTCAGTGGGTCGCGACTCCGATCTTGTTGTAGTGAAGCACTGCTCTCGCTAATGTCAGCATTAGCAAATTCTCTCAGGTCGATCAGTGAGCTCACCTACCAGTCCAAGCGTAGCTGGAATTGCCCCTTAGGGTACTAGTGATTCGGTAGGGAAAAAATGTGAAAAATACGTTTTTTTTCTTCTTTTTATTGCCTTTGTAGACAGACGAGCATACGGCCCACCTGATGGTGGGTGGTTACCGACGCCCATGGACTTTAGCAATGCCAGGGGCAGAACCAAGTTGCTGCCTACCGCTTAATACCTTCCACAAGCCTCGTTTGAAGAAGGACATGTCATAGCGCTCGGGAAACACCGTGGAGGGGAGCTCATTCCATAGCCGGATGGTACGTGGCAAAAAGACCTCTGGAAACGCACTGTGAATGACCGCAGTTGCTCCAGGTAGTAAGGATGAACTCTACTCCGGTGGCGGGCGGTGCGAATTTCTTTTGTAAAACGTAAAATCTACCAGTTCTTACTTGGTGAGCACAGCGATAGCACCGTCGATGGGCTGCGTCAAACGTTTGGCTGTGTCGTCGCTGTTGACCAACGACGGACAATGGATCAACAGGCTGTGTAGCGCCGACAACGCGCCGGCACGACCCTCCAATGTCACCTGGCAGAATTATAAATAATAATACATAACTGGGAACAAATCATCACCGCCATCCGACTCAATATTAGGATTCCTTTGTTATGGATACCAGAGACTGATATACATACTTATTATTATTATTTTTCTTAGACGGGTGGACGAGCTCACAGCCCACCTGGTGTTAAGTGGTCATTGGAGCCCATAGACATCTACAACGTAAATGCGCCACCCACCTTGAGATATAAGTTCTAAGGTCTCAGTATAGTTACAACGGCTGCCCCACCCTTGAAACCAACACGCATTACTGCTTCACGGTAGAAATATGGTGAATAAAAATGGTGGTACCTACCCGTGCGGACTCACAAGAGGTCCTACCGCCAGTAATTATATAGACTATTAAATATATCTCGTTATATCTTTATGGATATAATTCTACTGTACGTGTGTACACTGAACTCCTCCTGGCTGGACCGATTAGAATGATTTTTTTGTGTATGCATTCATTCATTCATTTCATTCGTTTTTTGTATGCAGTACAACGTCTGTCGGATCCGCTAGTACATACGTATATAAATAATAAAAACTCAGAGAAAGAGCAACCAAACTTGTTCATCACACGAATGTTTGCACGGTGAAGGAATCAAACGTACGGTCTTAGGCACAAGAGTCAGGGCCACTAAGTACTGGACCACCCATTACGTCTAGATCATGCTTAACGACATAACGTTGTTTAATTTGTTTGCATTGCTATTTTTTTTAATTTTTTTTTATTGCCCTTGTAGGCAGACGAGCATACGGCCCACCTGATGGTGAGTGGTTACCGTCGCCCATGGACTTCAGCAATGCCAGAGGCAGAGCCAAGCCGCTGCCTACCGCTTAATACTCTCCACAAGCCTCGTTTGAAGAAGGACATTTCACAGCGCTCGGCAAACACCGTGGAGGGGAGCTCATTCCATAGCCGGATGGTACGTGGCAAAAAAGACCTCTGGAAACGCACTGTGGATGACCGCAGTGTAGTAAGGATGAACTCTACTCAATATATAAAAACAGTATATCATATTATAATCCAATTACCCGAATGTGTCGCACCTATAACGAACTGGCAAGGTCGTCAATTGAGTTTGGATATTTTTACTTGTAGGTTAGGTACGTTTATAAAAATGATCAAAGGCATCCTCCACGTTTGTAACAGGTTAGGAGTGTAATTGTTTAATTTTATATTGTGAATAAAATGATTTCCTTACATTATAAGTTAGATTAGTTTTCGTTGTCGCGTTTATTTGTCGTATAATTGTAAGGAGCGTTGTTGTACAAATTCAGCACTATGTCTTGTTTTGTCGTGCGCACATAACTTATGTTGCAAGCCAGATTTTGTTTCTTTTTACTTGTGTTTTTTATGTATCTTTTTAGCTTGTAATGTGTATTGTGAGCTTAATAAATAAATAAATTATTCTTATAAGACCTCATATTACCTGCCAAGTGAACGCGTCTCCTCTTGATTTTTCCGATTCCAATTCCTTGGCGGACCTCGGGAAGCTGTTGCGCCACAACAGCAACATTCGGGGTAGGAGACCTCGCACCACCGGAACCCCTGATGTGTTACACAAAACAACAATGGCTCAACACTACGGAACAGTAAAAGTTTAACTTCATAGGATTCTTAGCTAAGAAATAACTCTATTTAAAAAAAAAACATCCCAAGCATCCATCTAACTTAAATTTTCAGACCTACATCCGCTCTCCTTAAACATGTCATCTATATATTAATACGTGAAGCAAAAGCTTTGTACCCCTTTTTACGAAAATTGCGCGGACGGAGAAATATGAAATTTCTCACACTTATAGAGAATATAGGGAAGGAGTGCAGAATGCTAATATTTTTCTAAAATTCTGCATAAAAAATACATTGAATCAATAAACAAAAAACATTACACACTGCCATGTATTTGACAAACACAAGCATACTCATTCTTTTGTTTATTGATAAAGTTTGTGGTCAAATTGCTAATATATTAATATTGTTTGTTTTTAACATTATTTGTCTGTTAGTAAATATTTATTTATTTATAAAAAAAAAAAAAAAAAAAAAAAAAAAAAAAAAAAAAAAAAAAAAAAAAAAAAAAAAAAAAAAAAAAAAAAAAAAAAAAAAAAAAAAAAAAAAAAAAAAAAAAAAAAAAAAAAAAAAAAAAAAAAAAAAAAAAAAAAAAAAAAAAAAATTGAACCATAATAATTTTCAATATTATAATTTAAATTAATTATGGTCCAATTTCGACCACTGAGCGACTAGTTTAAAATTGTAAGTTCAAAAGTATAAATTTCGATAACCATATGGTTTACCAATGGTTACCAATTACCAATGATTACCATTTGGTTTACCAATGGGTTACCAATTTTTTTCTTGCAGTTCTATTGCTCGTAATGTACACACATTAATGAATAAATGAACACTAAAAAATATCCAGAATGCTCTAGTTAAAATAAGTGGCTTCAGTTAACTAAAGCAGCCTCGTCCAGATCATGTGTATTCGTTTATAGCATTCTCGTGGACCCTTTACTATTTACCCAACCATATGAGATTGTGTCACCCCCTCCCACCTTGACGTCATACCTAATGTACAAATGGCGCCGACAATAAGCCAGCCAGCATTAGTTCTGGCGGCCGTCAGCCTGCTGCTCTGTCCAGCCGAACGCAGCAACTGCTCGGCGGCATTAAAGGCGATTTTGCCGCGACCGTGCGGCACGCCCAGGGGGGACAGACGCACTGCGCCTAGTATGGCTGCCAGTGCCGCCGAATAACCTGCAATCAAACTATTAGTATAATAAATCGGCCCACGACTGCATCTAAATTAAAGTTTACCGAATACAGATATGATATCAAACGGCTCGGTTAATGATAATGTGATTAATGCAGTCTAACTTGTACGAGGCTGTAAGAATGTGATGTCATGATCATATCTGTCATCGTAGCGTGAAATCATGCTAGTGAAAAGGAAATATATAGTAGTATGAAATATAATATAATAGAAAGACATTTAATATAAATTTGCTTCCCCGGCGTTCGCCCCCGGGAAGCGGACTTCATTTTTTTTATTGTCTCTCCATACTGGAAGGTGACGTTAGTACTCCGTTGGCCATCATTAAGTCTTCGCTTTAAGCTCTGATATTCCAGCCCTCACGTGGCATAGATGTTGTAGCCGGACGTGGAGTTAGGCTTGTAAGGGGCTAAATTGGCTCGTTGATTACGAAAAGGACTAATAGCCTCTCAAGGCTACTAGCTTAGGTAGGAAAAAAAAAAAAAGTTGACTTCTGAATGAAATATGGTAAAAGACACATTTACTGACAGTTCTCCAACAATAAAAATCACAAAACTGGTCAAAAAATTGTATCGTTTATTTCGCCTTGTAGTCTTTCTTTGAATAGTTCCGTGAACAGTCTGATCGCTGCTAGATGGCGTTAGTTGTTATTACGTTTGCACTAACTCTTAGTGCCGCCGTTGAACAATTGGCGGCACCTACAATGCGATTGTTACTATTGTTTTTACATATTTTTTTAGTTTACGTTTAAGAATAAGGTTAACTCTGAAATCATATTATTAAACCTAATTACAGTTATATCGTATTATGTCCATTGCTAGAACAGCCACATAATACCGAAAGGACTCTTCTTCAACCTGTGTCCACCCAATGCTGAGTGTAGGTCTCTTCATAAGCACTCCTAACCCATAGATACAGCCTACTGAGTTTCTCGTCAGATCTTCTCAGTGGGTCGCGTTTTCGATCCGTAGGCAGATTCTGCGAAGCGCTACTCTTTCTAGCGTTAACAACAATTCAGATTTGAGCCCCGAGAGCTCACCTACACGCTAGGCTAAACCTGAAATAGCCTCTCAAGGCTATCAGCATAGGCAGAGAAAAAAAGTACTCCATTCCTTTCGGTTTCCTGCCCTTCGCATCCCAGTCCTTACCAATATATACATTCCGTTCATTATACATGTTGTTTAATCATCACTATAGAAAATGAAGACATTCGCAAAATCGTGAATACATAATGCTTGGCTCGGTAGTAGATATGGATCTGAAGCAAGTTCTATGGCTATATGGTAGTACAGGGAGGCACGTACCGTGCACGCGATGCGGCGTGGGCGTGGGCGCGTCCAGTGCGTCCAGACACGCGTCGAGCAGCGGCGCGGCGCGCGACGGCAGCGCCACGCACACGCAGCGCACGCAGCGCGCCGCCGCCAGCCGCGCCGCCACGCACGGGTGCTCCAACACCTGCACGCGCACAACTCTCAACATCAGAACCATTGCTTGCCAAATATCTTCTATAGGGAAACGTTTACTAATGGTAGGGCCTCTTGTGAGTCCGCACGGGTAGGTACCACCACCCTGCCTATTTCTGCCGTGAAGCAGTAATGCGTTTCGGTTTGAAGGGTGGGGTAGCCGTTGTAACTATACTTGAGACCTTAGAACTTATATCTCATGGTGGGTGGCGCGTTTACGTTGTAGATGTCTATGGGCTCCAGTAACCACTTAACACCAGGTGGGCTGTGAGCTAGTCCACTCATCTAAGCAATAAACAATAAAAGTGTGTATTCAATTTGATTCGATGTTTAACAATGGAAAACAACATCAAAAATCGACATTTTTTGCGTTTATTTTTGAGGCACTTCCAATTCACCTGGGAAAGTGAAATTGTTTTCTATCGATTCAGCTTGCCGTTAACTATGGGTATATGCAATATTATTTTATATATCTATAATAAATAATAAAATAGTGATATATTTTTTTCAATTGGGATTAAACGTAAGTACATACTAAAATAAACACTAAAAATACTCACACTACATATAGCTTCAACCATATTCAATGATGTATCTGATATGAGATTCTGAATTGAAGTACCGAGCTGCAAGGCCAATTCTCCCGCTTCCATTAGAGCACACACTAAAAGGTGCTGACTAAACAAAGTTTCCTGTAATAATAATAATAATAAAAAGATTGAAATTGCTTTAAAATTGAACAAGGTAATTAATTAACCAAAATGATAAAAAAAAACTATTTATTTTTAAGTAAGTTTTTTAAGTATGAAGAAACATTTATGACTAGCACTTAGATAGATAAAAAATGACGATTAACTACATATATTATGATATCACAATTGGTGATTGGTTCGATTATTTTGCCGTCTTCAAATTTTAATTAATTACTTTAACTGAATTAAGTTCTCTTACTGCTTTTTAAATTTAATTTTTATTGGGACGATTGGGTTTTATATTATACTAGAGGTCCCGCAGTAGTCGAAATTCGACTATAATTAATTGGAATTGTAAGTGTGTACACTATTATGATTGTATTTTATACTTCTATAATCACAAATTTCGCCAAGACTACACTATAAAAAATATTAACAAAGACAAACAATATTTAATATATTCTCAATTTGACAACAGACGTCAAGAACAAAAGTTTGACAATAAATAGTATGCATGCGTGTGTACTTCAAATATATGGTATAATAGCCGGCAAACTTCTTGAGCATTTGTTGACGTAGTGGGGGTAAGTTTGCGCATGGTACACTCACGTGCAAAAACATTATTTACTCTGCGTCATAATGCAATTAAATTATTAAAATCAACATATGTATTTTTTTATATATTTATTAGAACATCAACAAAAAATGTAGGTTAATAATTGTAATAATTTAATCTTGGGGTAAAATAGATATTCCTTCTATTAAGTCAAAACTAGAGCTGTTGCCAGGTCTTGGTTCAGTTAAAGCGAAGCTGGTATTTGTAATTTTTTTTTCGTTATCATAATCTTGACCATCATCATCATCACTGTTTTCATCACCCGAGTCGCTATCATCGTGATGAGTCGACATAGGGCTCATCGGCGTAGTTTACAACTCGGTCGATTCGGTCTTCTTTTTTGTCTATAATTAATTATTTTTTGAAGATATTCGATTCGTAGTAATCGAATGTTACTTTTTTCATTTACCAGCTTCCGATTATTTTCTGTTCTTTTTTTCCATCTGAAGCCTAGCTCTTTCATAATTCGTCGTAAGCTTCATTCCGAGCCATTAAAATTTATATCTTCTTTAAATTTTTCGAAGCCTTTCTACGGTACGGAGTTTCGCTGCTTGTTATGTAGTTATTATGATTACATCTTTTTATTACAGATTGAACGAAACTATCCATTCCGGTAACTTTCTTCTTCCCTGATCTTTTCTTACCCGGAGTCCGAAACACGGCGAGCAAGCCAGAGCCTTTAGCTTCGTTAATAATGCACCTAACAGTACTCACTGATGTTTTTGTTGCTTCCGAAGTCTGTTTTAATTTTTCCATATCATTCTTCCCCTGTTTTATAATGAAGCAATATACGTCGTACACAAATTTTCTACCCTTTCTTTTAAGTACTACACCAGTTTGTCACGGCATAGTGTATGTTTTATAAAAAATCAACAAACACTCAACAAATAGCAATGGCAACAAAGTCCACAAGCAATTATAACAAATAACTTAACGATTAATAACGATAGACTTTCCACTGTACGCAAGCGTACTTTTGGGAGCAAGCGGAATGAGGGCGCGGTGCGGGACGCAAGGTTCGACTGATCTACCAATAAAGCGCTCGATACGATTTCCCCTGCCGTCGCGCCTCACCCTCACCACCAAAGTGATCTAAAATTCGGTTCTGCGCAGTCAAGGTCATTTGCTCAAGATGTTTGCCGGTTACTATATGTGGTGTGTGTAATGTTTTCTTTATTGATTTAATGTATCTTTTATGCATTATTTAAAAAAAAAATTAGCATTGTGCACTTCTTCTCTATATTCCCTATAAGTGTGGAAAATTTCATACTCCTCCGTCCGCGCAAATTTAGTAAAAAGGGATACAAAGTTTTTGCTTGACGTATTAATATATAGATTATACAAAAATTTCTACCTGATTACAATCCTTCGCGTTTTCCGGATTAAAGTCGATGCTGTTCATTTGTTTGACTACAATCTGTATGATCTCCCGACACGCCGACGCTTGTGCTTTCTCCCCTAGCATCTTGCCGAGAGTGTTGCGCAGAATATAACTAATGCACTTTCTGTAATGTCGAGGACAAATAATAATGAACAAAACATATAATTCTGGATTCTAAATCAAGTTTTATACCATACTAGCTTTTGCCCGCGACTCCGTCTGCGTGGAATTGGCATAACGCTAAAATTTACCCCCACTTCATTTACGTAGAAAGTGAAAATATTTTTGTATTATATAATTTTAAGGAGCTATTTAAACCCCTATTTTGAAACATTCTTTACTGGGGGTCCACTTGTATTGGCCTTACCGTGATGTTATATAGCCTATAGCCTTTCTCAATAAGTGAATTATCTAACACTGAAAGACTTTTTCAAGTCGGACCAGTAGTTCCTGAGATTAGCGCGCTCAAACAAACAAACACTTCAGCTTTATAATATTAGTATAGAAAAGATTAACACAACTACTGACCTTGAATAAACCGCGTCGACATGAGAACTAGCTGCTTTAGGATTAGCCACCAAATCCAATACGTGAGCTAAAAACGTAGTTATGTTACGTTCCAACCAAACTCCTCCCATGTTCTGCACGAACACGACATATGCCTTCGAAAAACAAAAGATTATATGTTTTTATACATAATGAAAGAAAAAAAAACGCAGTATATCTTATAAATATATTTCAAATCATTTTACAAATTTGTTAAACATTAATTCAACAAATTTTAACAGTAATTAATTTTAATTTCAAAAAGACGACAAATGATAAAACAACCAAAAAGATTATAGTTTTAGAAACCATTTCTTTGAATCTAATAGAATAGAATAACCTTGAATCTAGTTTACTTACATTTGTAACACATACTCTAACTTCCCTGTTGACACCGGAACCAGATTTAATAATTTCACCCTTTAGGAACGACGTGCCCCCTCTTAGAAAAGCGCCCATCAATAAGTTCAGAGCTTCGTCTAATGACACTACATTTTTAGGAGGATCCTTCTTATTTTGTTGCACTGCAATAAAACAATCTCTATGGTTTATGATACTGGTGGTAGGACCTCTTGTGAGTCTGCACGGGTAGGTACCACCACCCCGCCTATTTCCGCGGTGAAGCAGTAATGCGTTTCGGTTCGAAGGGTGGGGTAGCCATTGTAACTATATTGAGACCTTAGAACTTATATCTCGAGGTGGGTGGCGCATTTACGTTGTAGATGTCTATGGGCTCCAGTAACCACTTAACACCAGGTGGGCTGTAAGCTCGTCCATCCATCTAAGCAATAAAAAAAAAAAACAAATATAGAGTTCTAAGATTAGTTAAAAACTATTTACCTGGTTGTAAGCCAACTTTAAACTTGTTGTTATTCGTCACTTCAGCAGCTTGTGTTGTTGCTATTAGAGATCCCAAAAGTTCCGCAATTGCACATCTGAAATTAATTACTATTTTTTTAATATTCATTACACTTGCAACTTATCACCAACTCAGACTTATGAATCCCACTGGTGTTATTCAACTTTGGGATGTCATTGATTTACCGTACATTTCAATAAAATAGTAAGATACGAACAATTACAAAAACCTGTGAACAATTACAAGTACCTGCTTTAGGGTGTTAAGATGATATTCAGTTAACAGTTTCAGTAACAACTTAACCCCTAATTTGATACAAACTGAATGGAATTACATATATTAAAATATAAGGCAATATTTATCAATCAAAATTATTTATTTCAAATAGAAAATAATCTACTACAGATTCGAAAATAATGAACAATCGCTTTTACGGTGAAATCAGGATGAAGGCTGTGAAACCATACAAATAGGTCAGGTAAGTTTTGAGCCTCATTAAGTTTATTCATTCATGATGTGGGTCAAATGAAGTCGCGAATGCCCTTTCAAGCTTAACTTAAAGGTGAAATTGCGACATTTAGAGACCGTATTAACACCAGCTTATATGCATATAGAATAGTATATTGAATGTTATGTGTCATGCTTCATTATTTACTAACTCTAAATTTAAAATTTATCCATTATGAACATCTATAATATATATCGACGCTTGAAAGGCAAACATGACAATAACTGCTGTGTACATAAATGATAGGAAAAACCATATTCAATGCGCAAAAAAAAATATTTCTAGGTCTATTAAAATCATTTCAATCCTACAGCTAGATTCCTTAAAATAGATTTTTTTTTCAGGTATTTCAAATTTAAATTAGTCTACTGTAAAGTTCACGCATTGTCGCTTAGTCACATTTGCCTTTCAAGCGTCGATATGTATCTTTAGCACTTGAAGAACCAATTGAAATAAAACATAGTGGCAATATTTACTTTTCATTTGATATTTCATAACCTCTCACTTTATTTTTGTTAAGGTAGTGGGATAAACATAATAAAAAGTGACATATAAAAATATCCGGTCACCATAAACCTGGTGTTAAAAAGCATTTTACCTTAAAATATAATCACTGGGATTGGCGGCACGGAGACAAGCAGCAGCTATAGCATCAAGATCCGCTGGTGTCAGTCTCATTAGTGGCAACAAGTTAGTCAGGGTGTGTGCTGCCGCAGCTCTCACTGCTGCAGACCGATCTGACATCAATGCTGTACGAGCAGCACGAGATACTTCTCTCACTGCCGCTGGAGCAGCAGATCCTATCCCCACACAGATCTAGAAATCCAAATTTTTCAGATGGCTACGGGTAATGAATAAAATTAAATAACATGTATAAAAATGCGAAGGTTCACACTTTTGCAATAGCTTATTAATACCACAAACATATGAAACTATAAAGATTGGAAATGCGAAAAATTCTTTAATGGAGAGTAGTTCTGATGAAGGACCAAGCTCAAAGAAAGCACCTAATAAATAAAAACTTGACAAAAGACAAGCTAAGCAGAAAAAAGTTGATCCTTTAATTATTTTACCTTTTCCAGTGTATTCATGATTTCAAGCCTGGTTTGCGATTCTGCACTCTTTAAGGACCTGACCAGAGTAGTAACAGTTTCTTCATGTGATCTTCCCATCATTCTACCTAGCTTTTCATACATACTACCAAGGCAGCATATTGCAGCCCTGTGTAAAGAATTGTTTTTAGTAAATATTACTTTTTTTATTCAATGTATTATCTTTTTTTGTATTTTCATTTTCAGTTTCAGTAGTGATATACTTTTTTTCATACAAACTGCACTAACAACTGATCACATTTATTTAACAATGTGATATGAAACCAGACCCTTCAAGCTAAACTGAATGCCTGCTTCATGTTATACCAGTAATAGCCTGTACTGGTAGCACTGACAATTTTTCTTACGAAAAATAGTAATTAATATATATTTTTAATGCCCTCGTAAGCAGACGAGCTTACAGCCCACCTAATGTTGAATGGTTATCATCTCCCATGGACTTCAGCAGTACCAGGGGCAGAGCCAAGCCGCTGCTTACAAAATTATATAATATTCTGATTTAATCTATACTACATAGTGATATTTCTCAAGTTTTTTTTTATTGCTTAGATGGGTGGATGAGCTTATAGCCCACCTGGTGTTAAGTGGTTACTGGAGCCCATAGGCATCTACAAAGTAAATGCGCCATCCACCTTGAGACATAAGTTCTAAAATCTCAGTATAGTTACAACGGCTTCCCCACCCTTCAAACCAAAACGCATTACTGCTTAGCGGCAGATATAGGCAAGGCAGTGTTACCTACCCATGTGAACTCACAAGAGGTCCTACCACCAGTAAAAAGTTAAAGTTAAAGTCACTTGTGTATGTAGTCAGCTATATTTTCTTAGAAAAATATACACATATAGACAGCATCAAACTGCATACATGTAGCACTTAAACAACTATACGTACAATCTAGTCGGCATGTATGAAGGCGAGTCATCCTTCACTTTGATGATGTCATTGCACTTATTTACTGTATCAAATAAAAGGAAGGTATCCCCGACAGAGAAGAGTATGGCTAAATTCCGGGCAAGCAGTTTTCTAGCAGGTGCACCAAGGGATTCACGTAGAAGATTAACTAATTGGGCAACAAGTTTTTGTTGGCAAGCTTTAATATCATTCTGAAACAAAAATAACAATTAAACTCAACATGCTATTTTACTTGTTAGTATTCTTCAAAACTTAATTTTGATGTTGATTTATTTATTGCATAGGTGTTTATAGTATATTAATTACATTAAAATAATTATGGAAAAATTTTAGATTGTTTAATAGATTTGGTATAATGTTAATTGTATTTTTTCTCTTTTAATAATATTAAATTAATTTGTTGACCCACGCACAGTATAATAAAGTTATAAATATAAAAATATACAATAATTGTGTAAATTTACAAAAAACCATGTTTTTAATTTTGTACCTTGTGTGCTGCAACCAACACCTTGTCAAGGAACCGTAGCCATTCAAATATGAAATGTGGCTTTTTATCATCTGGCAGCTGCTGCAATGCTGTTTCGTTTAGAGTCAAGGAATGGGACACTTCCATTTTTTCTGAAAATTTTATTTTTTATTGCACATATGTTTTGAGTTTATTGTACACAATTCAATCAGAGCAGAATGATATGTAGAACTCTGAGTTTGTATAATAAATACTAGTAAAACCATGAGTTCAATAGCGTTGTTAAGAGGTTACCGAATATGTTAAATACATTAGCTTTAAAAACATTGGTTTTAAAATAAGAAACCATTTCTACAATTCCCAATTCCTCTTCATTTTAATTTCGTAATAACATAGAAATGATTACTATTTAGGTAACTAAAATGGGACAATATATAATTAACTCTTTCATTATGACCTAAATTAATTTTAGATGTAATTACTTGACAGTAAGCATAGTTGCGGATACGTGTTCACAGAAATATGAGTTTGTTTATTTGTAAAATATACTTGACGAGTACACTATTATATTTTTGTGTTTACGATTTAGGAATCTTAATAGAAACATATTTATACTCCATTATTTTTTATCCTATCCTTATTAAAAATCAGTCGAAGACATTTGTTTATCGCAAGATACAAAAATTTGAAACTCACCAATAGACAGATTTTAACGAGGTAAATTGAGTATGATTTTGTATAACTTTTACATAATAAGCCACAGTAAATAGTCACAGTTATTAACTACTGTGACTGCCGAGCACAAAACACTGGAAGGCGCAGTAAAACCACGAAACTGAAATGAGGGTAACTCTAGTTCAAAATAGTTCAAATTAATATAATCCAAAATAATCTGTATTCCAAAACATTTTTTTTTTTTAAGAGATTTTATGACCTGGTAACTGAGACCTTTAAGTAATGTCTTATTTTACTTTATATTCTTAATTTTATGAAAAATGATAATATGGAGTGAAATGAAATGAAGATGATTAATTTGAAACATTAATCAACTGGCATGAAATTTAATGAAATGAGATGATATGGGATGAAATATAATCGCAGTAAAATGGTGGTCATTTACTGAGATTTTTTCAGTGGACTTTTTGGACGAACCCGAGAAGTTANATTTTTTCAGTGGACTTTTTGGAGGAACCCGAGAAGTTACGTCCAGCAGCTTTGTTTCATTTTCCCACATTTGTGCACTTTCACAGATATTAAACAGTTAATAAACCACCATTATTACACATTTAAACCTGAAGAAACACTAAATAGACAAAATAAAACAAATCACACAACTTCACTCCTCGCGTTCCCGCCAAAAAGTCGTCACAGACTAGTAAGTAAACTAACCATAGATATACACTTAATGAAACTAGCTAAATCAAGGTGAATGAAGTTAGCCCCTCAAAAATTTTTTTTTTTCCTATTTTATACTTATTTTCTATTAATTCGTTTGTTCATCATTTGTTCATGATTGTTCACTGTTAATAATTGTTTGTTCTGCATTTATTTATTTAAAAAATATATTTAAAAATATACCTACAAGTTAGCCCCTCTAAAGCATTTTTTAATATTTTTTCATTCTTAATGATTCGTAAATATTCATTTTCGATTGTTCTTATATAAAACACGTTTGTTCTCTTTCGAAATTACTCGTTTTTTGTTTAATTTACTATTTTTATTAGTTGAATAAATGTATGCAAAATATGTGTACTGCGCATGCGTCAACTATAATGCCTAAACTTTCTACGCGATTTTAATCGTGAAAAAAAAAACAAATATAAATCCTGAAGGAGCAATTAATTGGTATACAGTTTAATTAAAAAAAATTAAAAAATAAATAAATGAAATAATGTGCATTGGCGTTAAGTTAGACCAAATACATTTTTTCCATTCTCTTACCTATTGTATTATAATGTTATTTTACTAATGTTAGGAATATAATTTCGACTGTGTAAAAAAGTTATTATAATGTATACCTATATTATCTCTTGAAAGATAAATCATGAACATATTTACTTATTTGTTTATATTACCTATGTGAACTCCCTATCTTTTTTATACCTTCATAACGATAAGTAGGAGGATGGAAAAAATGTATTTGGTCTAACTTAACGCCAATGCACATTATTTCATTTATATAGTGAGGGGTAGATCTCAGGGGTATTTAAAACTATGGGTTAGTCACCAATATCGAATTTCGAATTTTAATCTTCCTTTATCACAAACAATTTTCAATTTTAAACAATAATTACATTTAGACGCGGGCGCACGCTATTCACACTCAAAACGGAAGCGCCCGGAACATAGATTATACACTGTTGAAAAGATTGACATANAATGGTCAAGATTATGATAACGAAAAAAAATTACAAATACCAGCTTCGCTTCAACTGAACGAAGACCTGGCAACAGCTCTAGTTTTGACTTAATAGAAGGAATATCTATTTTACCCCAAGATTAAATTATTATAATTATTAACCTATATTTTTTGTTGATGTTCTAATAAATATATAAATAAATACATATGTTGATTTTAATAATTTAATTGCATTATGACGCAGAGTAAATAATGTTTTTGCATGTGAGTGTACCATGCGCAAACTTACCCCCACTACGTCAACAAATACTCAAGAAGTTTGCCGGCTATTATACTGCGCATGCGTACACATATTTTTCCTCGACCAAATGGATTCCCCAGCGTTAAAAAAAAAAAAAAAAAGTACACATATTTTTCATACATTTATTCAACTAATAAAAATAGTAAATTAAACAAAAAACGAGTAATTTCGAAAGAGAACAAACGTGTTTTATATAAGAACAATCGAAAATGAATATTTACGAGTCAATAAGGATGAAAAAATATAAAAAATTGCATTAGAGGGGCTAACTTGTAGGTATATTTTTAAATATTTTTTTTAAATAAATAAATGCAGAACAAACAATTATTAACAGTGAACAATCATGAACAAATGATGAACAAACGAATTAATAGAAAATAAGTATAAAATAGGAAAAAAAATTTTTTTGAGGGGCTAACTTCATTCACCTCTAAATCAGTAACAAATTAACAATTGAGTCGACTATTATCAAAGGCGGCAATCTGACTTTTGGACAATGATTGGTAAATCAGAAAAACGAATTATTGACTTTGTATTCCATTGGCAGTCACAAAACTCTTCGGAACGACGTCTTAGATAAATAACAGGTTAACTATTAACCTTTATTTAATGCAGGTTTTGAACCGTATTCTTTGAAGGAGACGATTATATTCAAATAAATCTGTATTGACATATCAATAAAAAAATTTTGTCCAAATGTACAGATTGCCGCCTTTGATAATAGACGACTCAATTATACTAATCTGTGAACTAAATTGTTTTTTTCACTCTTTTGATCGGCTTACTAAATTTGGACCTCCTTTTTTTGATTTTTGAATTTTTTGAATTTTTAATTATTTGTTCGCCGTTTCTACGTTAATGTTCGATTGTAAAAATTGTTTGTTCGTCTTTTATTTATTTATAATTAATTAAACAAATGATTACCCTTAAATTGGCCCCTCTTACTAGATATCTTTATTTTTGTCGCTCAGATTAATTAATTTTGATCAATTATCGTTTGTTCGAGGACTATTGGTGATTTTTCGATCATAAGAACAATTAAATTTCCTATTATTAATTATTTTATATCTAACTGGACTTTGGTTTGGTTAGACTTTTTTCATTCGAAAATGGTAATTTTGGCTGTGAAATTGAATCGGTATAATTACGTCACTCGTTACGATTAAGCCGGATGTTATATTTGAGTCGACTATTATCAAAGCCGGCAATGTGACTTTTGGACAATTATTGGTAAATCAGAAAAACGAATTATTGACTTTGTATTCCATTGGCAGTCACAAAACTCTTCTGAACGACATCTTAGATAAATAACAGGTTAAGTATTAAACTTTATTTAATGCAAGTTTTGAACCGTATTCTTTGAAGGAGACGATTATATTCAAATCAATCTGTATTGACATATCATTATCATTTTTTTGTCCAAATGCACAGATTGCCACCTTTGATAATAGACGACTCATTTGTAGCCACGTCTACACACATTCGTAATCACTATCCTAAGATATAAAAAAATTGAGATCCCTTTTTTACTTACTAGCATACTAATTGTCCGCTTTTTCTGAACCAACTTTCAATAGTGTTCTTTGATCACTATTTCCAAACTAACGTGATTAATATAATTATAATAATAAAAAATAAAAAAACAGATGTGTGCAATTCACACGTGGTAGAAGTGAAACCTTCCAAAATTAAAATACAATTATCCTAAACGTCTTAAATATATGTAAAACTTTGTCATTAGTCAATAATTGTAAGGTAGCGCCCTCTGTGAATTGATATTTTAATTTCACGTATAATCCTAAATTAAAATTCACTACAAGAGCTTTCATACACACGTTAGTATTAAAAAATCTCACAGATGGCGCTGTATTAAATAGTATGTATATTTCTGTCTCATTCTTTGCTGGCTTCATCCTACACATTTTGTGTCTCTTATGCCGAGTTTACATTACGAAATTAGTGTCATGCATGTTGAGCTCAGTTTCACGAAAGTAGTTTCGATATATGCGAAAGTAATTTCGTCAAAAAATTAGTGTCGCGAAATCCACAGTATCGCAGTAACCACGGCGCCTTCAACATCAAAGCTAAATTCTATGCTATATGCTATATTCAATGTAGCTAAAGAAATGCTTATATACCTATAAACTTAAAAAAAATACTATCAAGAAAAAAAAGGTTGGTAGATTCGAGGATGGTCAACAAGAAGGCATTTAGGTGCAATGAAGTTAGTCTCTGAATTAGCAGATAAAGATCCTGAGAGTTATAAAAACTATTATCGAATGAGTGAATATAATTTTGCTTTTTTACTGTAGGTGTTTCGGGTCCCAGAGACACCGTTGTCGCTGATATTCATTAATAAGATCTNAACGCAAATAAAAGCAGCCGGGGTGACAATAATCTCAAAAATTATTATTTGTAAAATGTAACTGGTCGTCATTTTTTAATGGTGCTATATTGTAAATTAAATTAAAAGCAGCCTTAACTTCTATGCCTAGTTTACACTACGGGACTTTTTTTAACACTTGGTAACTCTGCTCGTCAATGTTTTGACTTTTAATATTCTACTGTCTACTGATTCAGTTCATCCATTTCAATTCTAAATAATTACATTATTCTCCAACGGTAACAAATTTATCAATTGAATGGATTAAATAAATCAGATAACTACTTGCGTCAAGTGATACATAAAACTCTTAAAGTAAAATACCTACATACAAGAAAATAAAACCAGTTTCATGAGTCGTTTAACGCCAATCGTACAAAATATGATTAATATGAGCGCACAGCAGAGTCCGGCAAATATGCAGGCTGCCGTGGACAGGGAAAAGATATATTCCTGGATTCTAGAGCTATGCAATCCCGACACTCGTGAAAATGCGCTATTAGAACTGAGTAAAAAACGAGAAGTGGTTCCTGACTTGGCGCCAATGCTGTGGCATAGCTTCGGTACAATCGCTGCTCTCCTACAGGAAATAACCAATATATACGTGGCAATGATTCCTCCGACTTTGACTGCTCATCAGAGCAACCGTGTCTGTAATGCTTTGGCTTTGATGCAATGTGTTGCATCTCATCCAGAAACAAGATCTGCGTTTCTTCAAGCCCATGTTCCTTTATTCCTTTACCCATTCCTCCACACTGTTTCTAAAACTAGACCTTTTGAATACCTACGTCTTACCAGTCTTGGAGTAATAGGTGCATTAGTGAAAACGGATGAGCAAGAAGTTATAACATTTCTATTGACTACCGAAATTATACCACTGTGTCTGCGCATTATGGAAAATGGATCTGAACTCTCTAAAACTGTAGCTACGTTTATCCTACAGAAAATTTTGCTTGACGACAGTGGACTTTGTTATATTTGCCAAACCTATGACAGATTTTCTCATGTTGCTATGATTTTGGGGAAAATGGTACTTTCACTAGCTAAAGATCCATCAGCTCGGTTGTTAAAGCATGTAGTAAGATGTTACCTTCGTTTATCTGACAACCCAAGAGCAAGAGAAGCTTTAAGACAATGCTTGCCTGACCAACTCCGTGATGCAACTTTTACAGCATGCCTTCAAGAAGACAATTCTACAAAGCATTGGTTGGCTCAACTCATTAAGAACTTGGAAGCACAGCCTCCTCCGGCCAGTCCAGCTCAGCAGAACATGTGAGCCTACTTTGACGCCATGAGTCCACTGAACCTAATATTTAAGTAGTAAAACAAATTTAAGATGTGTCCAAATTAAAATTAGTCTTGTCATCCATTAATAAAGTGTAAAATGATTGCTAAAATACATAATGTCATTTGGAATGAGATTTATAAAATCTGGCTACAAACTGTTTCTATCATCTTAATGTTTTTTAATGAAGAAATGCGAAATGTTAAAATTTTTTGAGAACAATAATGTATTAGGTGACAAAATCTTCTAAGATAGGATATTGTGATGACAGTGTTTCAATTAAAATACAATAATGTTGCTTGAGTCCAAAAACGGTGACATTTAGTTGCATTCTGGAGATACACCAATGTGATAGTTTAAAGAGCATGTATGACAAAAATAATTTTATAATGTGACCATTGTGGAACTACTTAGTATTTCTTCTAGTGGGCTTATGTGCCGTGGGTAATTGAAAAATATTTTTAAGTATGGTTGTTAAATTACACACATTTGACAAACTATTTACTCTGTGTAGTAGGGATGAGCATGCTAACTACTCTAGTATTTCTACTAGAGGTACACACGCATATGTGTGTGTACCTCTAGTGGCATTAACAGAAATTAGTGTCTTAATTTACAATCCCGTCTTGCAAATGCTTCAAATAACTACCAAAAAAAGTCAAATGTGACTGACAAGACAGCCTTCTGCGATATTATGTTCAACATATCTGAACAGACTAGATTAAATTTTATCCTCATCTATATCAATGAAGTTTTAAATATAATGTCAAGATTTATGTTTTTACTTTTAGTCTAATCCATCTGCATAGCTCTTTTTTATGCTATAGTCGGACTGAATAAAATATTTTTTTGGTAGCAAATGTTAAAGTTGTTTTTTTTATTATTTGAGATCTCTGGGTCGTCACTAAACTAAACAGGTAAAAAAATCACCCCTATTTTAAGTATTCATAAATCTTATGAATTTGTATGTATAATGTATTTGTTGAATGTTAACCAGGTATATTGCTTGCAGTAGCATGGGTGCATTTAGAGATTAAATTAGTAATTAACACTTTATTAAGAATAATAACATAATAAAAAAACCAGCAGTGATTATATTTTATGCAACTACCAGTGGTAGGCATTAGGTGTTATAAACTCATGGCTGTGCCCTACCTTGCCTATTTTTGCCACGGAGCAGTCTTGTGTAACATGTGTTACAGTTTGAAGAAAGTAATGGTCTTTATGCTATACATTGAAACTTAAGACTCATGATTGATTTTGATGGGTTCATTTTCATTGTATCAACTCTAGGCTTTGGTAACCACTCAACAACAGGTAAGGTCAGGTATCTAGTGCAAAAAAGTATGTATTTGCGTTTTTAATTTGGAATAGAGGGTAGATGATGAACTTATTACATATTTAATAAATAAATAAAAAATTAGTGATGTTAGATGTTTAGTGAAGCTACTAGACTGATAGATGTCATTAGCTTAATATAAATACTAGAGCTTGATTGCTCATTTACAATGATAAAAAGATAATCTAAATGAATTAAAAAGCGAATGTGTAAATTTGACTTTCCCACCTATTGTACAATTATACTTGCCTGTCAGCTGAATATCATCATTAATTGTGTTTTGGTGTGTAATAAAGTATTTATTTATTTTTATTGCTTAGGTGGGTGGAGGAGCTCACAGCCCACCTGGTGTTAAGTGGTTACTGGAGCCTTGAGATTTCATTTCAGAATTCCAAGGTCTCAGTGTGGTTACAACGGCTGTCTCACCCTTCAAATCGAAACGCGTTACAGTTTCTCGGCAGAAATAGGCGGGGTGGAGATACCTACCCGTTCCACAAGAGTTCCTACCACCAGTAATTACGTAAATTATAATTTTGCGGGCTTGATTTTTATTATACGATGTTATTCCTCGTCAATCGTGAACATTTGTCAAGTATGTATTTCATTAGAAAAATTGGTAGATACAAATGCAACGGACGTCTTATCCTTTATGCCGCGACGTCTGATATCGACTATACTCTCTCTTTTTATCTATATCTCTCTCTCTTTTTATCTCTCTCTCTCTCTTTATCTCGGTGATTGTCTATAATGTTATTATGGAGTTACAACGGAAACAAGTTTCAGGAAAACTGTTTTAATAGAATTAGTGCAGCGTGACTAGGATTTCGCTAGTAATCACATTAAAAAATCAGGCGTAATAGCAAGTATGTAATAGTATGATGGAACACCTAATACATTATTAACACATAAGGTTTATTTTTTGGTGATCCAGAGGCTTTTCCAACTTCACCAGCATGTATGAGCGGATTGAAGTGTTCAGCCGGGAGTGGATAACTAGCTGACCCGGCAGACTTCGTAGTGCCTCATTCGATAAAAAAAGACCTAAACTTTTGTATAAAATAAACTTAAAACAAACAAAAGGAATCCGTCCGACGCGGGACACGTCAAAGGAAAAATAAAATTGTTACTTTTATTTAATTCCGAGCATTTTCATATTTAACTACCTTTTGAACGTTCTCTGAACTTCCACAAATAATTCAAGACCAAAATTAGCCAAATTGGTCCAGCCGTTCTCGACCTTTAGCGAGACTAACGAACAACAATTCATTTTTATATAGATAAGATATAGATATAGATTTTGCTTACATATTACCATCTGGTAACTTCAAGTGGTTATCGTAGTTTCACCGGACGTTTAGGCGACCTCACGTAGTTCAGCCTGGCGACCGTAAACACGTCATTACGAATACTCCCAATCCATTAACGATGCTTTTAGGAACCTCAAGCACCGGTTACCATGCCCGCCGAACCCGACGCTTGCGACGAAGGGCTCGACGAGTAAATTAACCCATAGACACAGCCATACTGAGTTTCTCGCCGGATGTTCTCAGTGGGTCGCGTTTCCGATCCGGTGGCAGATTCCGCGAAGCACTGCTCTTGCTAGGGCCATTGTTAGCAGCACTCCCGGCTTGAGCCCCGTGAGCTCACCTACTAGCTCGGTGAATCTAAAATAGCCCCTCGAGGTTACTAGAATAGGTAGGAAAAAAAACAGCCTGGCGACTTTGCTAACTCTAGCTCTACCAAGAGCAGTGCTTCGCTGAATCTACCACCCGGTCGGAATCGAGAGTCAGCGAGAAGATCCGACAGGAACCTTAGTGAGCGGTGTTTATGATTTATTTTCCCGAGGAACCTTTCGAACGCTTCGAGGGTTCGACAAGCGGTGACCGGTGCTTAAAATGCCTAAAAGCACCGACAGAGAGGATCGGGAGGATCCGAAGTGATGTATTCTGGGCAACGGCGACTGTTTACTTTAAATAAATAAAAAGGCCTAAGTCGTTTAGTTTTTATATTAATTACTTTTCAGATAAGTTCAAATTTTATAGGCATACGTGTACTTTTAAGATGCTATCTACATCTAAAACTCTACTGACACGAATTTGGTTTGACCGCAATATACCTACATTACAAACCGATGTTAAAAAAATTTGGCATTTTTAAAAATCTGGTCCTCGGATTGGATGGCGACACAAAGCCCATCTTTTTGTCACATTGTAACTGTAGTAATTTCTGAATGGTTTATTATGGACTGTCGATTCCCATAAGCACTTTATCGATTCCCGGTTATGATTGTTTTGTGGGACACATTGTTGTGCACATTGAGCTCTTATCTTCTTTTTGTTTGAATTGATTAATTCACTGGACTTTTGTATTTGAATTCCACAATTAACAGTCTCTATACTTTTTGCGCAAGCTTTGTCCAGTAGCACGTGACTTTTAACTTGTGTTTGAGTTTGTTTTGCAACTTTTTTATTGTTGACTTGTTTACTGGGGCATCTACAATTGAGACTATCTCCTCGCTTCCGAATCAGCGTCACACACTCGTTATCGCACCTCAAAGGACCAGTTACAAGGGTATTAACTGCAATGTCTGCAAAGATTTTTTGAGTAAATTTTTTCTCAGGTTTTCTTTTGACGTTTTCAGCGTGTGGTGCAGGCTTGCCAGTGACTTTCCTTTTTTCTAAAGTTACCGAGCGAAAAAAATTTCCATTAACTTTGTTTGTACTTTGGAAGGTAATTTTACTGAGTTTCACTCGAGGTGGTGTTGTGTTTGGACGATCGGCTGCCTGCACTATGTCATTGCAAAGCTTTTGTGCACGCCGGGACATTTAATAACCGAAGAAGAGAGACGAATGTTCTAAAATAACTATTGATTCTATTCAATGATCAGTTTTACAAAATAAATAAATAAAAGAAAATTGAAGAAAATTATTAGTTGATGTCTTTAATTACAATAATTCGAAATGATTAATTTAGGGTTTATTTAACACGTAACGCCCTGTTGTACTGCTTCTTAATGTGGTTTTGTAAGATTTAAATAAATCCAATCATTGAACAGAATCAATTTTTGTTGTTACCTAGTTTATTTGACAGAAATTATGACATTCAATCAACTTTTAAGAGGATATACTACGAGTACTTAGAGTATATCCTCTTATCAATTTTAACATTCAAAGATTCTATCTTCAATTAGAAAGCTAGTTTTAATTGTCCACAGATAAATAGTTAACTACATAATAATTAAAAAAAGTTTTATAAATACAGTCCTGATGGCTCTTGACTTCGATAACCGCATAATACCAGGTAGGCCCTCGTGAGCTCTCAATATTTGCTTACTTGTAGCAATTATAAAACTTATGTATAGTTAAAAACCCAATAAAACCAAATCTTATTGTTGCTGTTGCTTGGTACGCTTTATTTATTCATTTTATTTATAGCGGCAACTATCATAGCATAGAAAATATTGAAACAAAAAAAAACAGAATCGCGGTTACGATCATCGGTTTGCTGAGCAAAAACACTTCTCGGTGGAAGATTTTCTTCATTGACGCTCTTCCAAACTGGTGACCAGCGACGGAACGACTACGGCCCTTCAAAATTTCACCATAAGCCCGTCATGAATGTCGGCTACCGCAACTCCCAATACTTTTGTATTCCAAGACTAGCCACCTACAGCAGCCATTGCGCGGTTAAGCCAGCATCGTAGCCTCAACGGACCTGCTGTTGCAGCCGACTCAGTACAGCTTCCAGATCCTATGCCACATACCCTCACTGACTCATTGTGCCATTACAGCCTACCGTAGTTCATGACTGGGTAAACAACCAGGAGTGACATTGGTACTAGTAAGCTAATTCCAGCATGGACTATACTTACTGGACAACCTAAAGTCTATGCGGATAATGGGCGGCTACTTATTAAATAATTTCTTCGCAAATATATGGTGCAGTAAATAGTTCTGATCGCGGATCACTTAATAAAAATAGAAAATCATAAAACAATAAGCTTATTTTATTGTAAGTATGCACGGGTAGGTATTACCAACATGGCGAAATCGAATGTGTAACGCTGATTCGCAAGCGAGGAGACAAACTCAATTTTAAATGGCCCATTAGAACTCATATCTCAAGGTGGGTGGTAGTATTAACGTTTTTGATATCTATGGGCTTTGGTACGGTAAAAACATCACATCAGGTTGGCGTATGAGTTCAAACAGTCATTGCAGCAATAAAAAAATATAGACCCTATTTACGTTTAAAGATTAAACAAACAAGAGGTTGGCTTAGTTATATAATTTTTTTATTATTACAAGATTAAAACCTTTATTGTGAAAGCAGAGCAATTAAGTATTTAATAAATTTATTACTTAGAACACTTTTGATAGAGGCTGATGGAAACTGGAAGGAAAATGATGCATATAGTACTGGGCAAGAAGTAATGCACATCGACCTCTAGAAAGAGACATTCGGCTAATTTCGGCTATATAGAGCATTGTTCCTTTCACACATTACATGTGCTACGTACGTTTTATATTAAGTGACAAGTGTATAATGAGACTTTTTGACGGGAACGCGAGGAGTGAAGTTATGTGATTTGTTTTATTTTGTCTATTTAGTGTTTCTTCAGGTTTAAATGTGTAATAACGGTGATATTATTTTTCATCCAATATCATCTCTTTTCATTTAGTTTCATCCTGGTTGATTAATGTCTCAAATTAATCAGCTTCATTTCATTTCATTTCACTCCATATTATCATTTTTCATAAAAATAAGAATAAAAACTAAAATAAGATTTGACTTAAAGGTCTTAGTTACCAGGTCATAAAATCCTTTAAAAAAAATGAAGATGACACTTCGTTCTTGACACTGACAGCAATTGATGCACATTGCACAATCAAAAAAACTAACCAAAATACTACCAAATGCTGCCAAAATATTTGTTAAAAAAGTTATAAATCCACTCAAAAATTTGCAAAATTAGAACAAAGCAACAAATATAGAGTACTTATTTTTATAAAAAAACAAAAGTGCAATTGTAAAGTCCAAACAGGATGGCAGTACCTGCATAGATAAGAAATAAACTTTATGTAGCTTAATTAAATAATTATTAATTGTAGTTATAGATTAAACAAATATACTTAATATTGTTTCTATTACAGTAGGAATATGGTTTGACTAGCTCAATAATATATACCTATAAATTGTTGTAGATACCTTGAAAATTAATAATATGTGGGTTTTTGGGTATGGTTCCTTAATTTGGAAAGCGGACTTCAAGTATGAGACTAAGCTAGTAGGCTATATTTCAGGGTATAAAAGAAGATTTTATCAACATAGTGTCGATCACAGAGGTGTCCCCGAAAAAGTGCGTAAAACTTTTTAAACCATATAGTTCTAATATAAAGTTCATAACATAGTAATTACTTTATTATTTTTAGTGAGTTTTATCAAATCTTCACAGCGGATTATGATTCCACGTTAAGTGCCGAGTTTCGGATAGCTGTCAGATAATGGGGTAAAAGGGTAGAAGTCAGAAGTCATTGATGTTTACCAAGCATATGGTGTTGTCAGGAACTAGATTATACCCACCTGATATACAAAGAGTATGCATGTCTATTAATGAAATAGGGTGGAATTGATTGGCCTTTCCATGTAAAAAAAAAAACTTAGAGGATTTTTACAGTAAATTAAAATTATTCCTACCTTTTATTTTTTCTAAACTCTTTTCCACATTATGTGCATTGTCAGTATATATATTTTATTTCATTCTTTTCTATTCTAGCCTGGTAGAGTAGTTACTTTAATACCCAGCAAGTTTCCTAATAGCACTGTGTGGGGTGTAGCATACAGGATTAGAGCAGAAGATGTAGATGAAGTAACCAAACATTTAGATTTTAGAGAAAAGAATGGTTATTCTAAGAAAACTGTCACATTCCATCCAAATAATAGCGAATATTTACCATTTCCATTGACTTTGTATGTTGCAGTAGAGGAGAACGAATCTTATGCTGGTAAGAACAAAAATGGTGCTGTGAGAATCATGTACCTTCTATGAAGTAATTAGTGTGTGTCTCAAGAAATTATAAGATACTCCAAGGTTATTAAAACAATCATTGATGCATGTAAATGAAAGCATTTTATGAAGTGAAATCGATAGTCGTCTTGACCTTAAGGCAAAGGTGTACATAGGGAAAAGCAATGCAACAGATTAGATCATATCTAATGCTAACAAACAATTTTGATTTAGCATTAATTTTCTCTTGGTCTGTGCTCAAGAAATTATAGAGGGAAATTCAATTCAGGCTAATTTTTTAGGAATGTAAAAATGATTTTTACATCGAGCTAATATGTAAAGTAATAGAACAAAAAAAATTCTGAACTAATAATAATAAATTTAATTGAAAACAAACCCTTGCTACCAAATACAAGTTATTTCTTGAAGTTCATTTGCTAACTAACAAAGAGCTTTGTATTCCAGTACTTAAATATAACTTAAAAACAAAAATTACAGGGCCAGCAGCAATAGAAGACATAGCACAACAAGTTGTTACATCTATTGGTCCCAGTGGTTCAAACAAAGAATATGTGTACAACTTGGCTGAAGCAATGAGACAGTTGGCACCAAATGCAGAAGATGAACACTTATTTGCTTTGGAAAAGGCGGTGAAAGAGATAGATCCAGATTTAAAGAACCTAAAAAATTAGATTTTATTAAAATTAATTCCCTTCCTAAATAAAAACACATTTATTTTTAATTATATTATAACAAAATGGGCATGAACACTGGATATATTGCTATGTAGATATTATATATGTATTCTAGATTTTATATATTTATATTTGAACATATTTTCTAAATTAAATAATATAATCGAATCATCATATGAAAAATATATTTCTTTGTATATCAATGACCCTTTTAAATTAACTGTTTTAGCTTAAAAAAACTTATAGGTTATTTGGTATTTGCCTTTTTTGTACCTAAGCTGATAGTCCTGAGAGGCTATGGTAGCCCTAACAAGTAGGTGAGCTCACGAGGCTCAAACCTGACGGCATTGCAGAATCTACCATCGAAAACCGACCCACAGAACGTCCGGCGAGAAACTCAGTGGGCTGTGTTTGTTTAACCAGCACCCTTTTACTCAACGAGCCCTTCGCAAGCGACGGGTTCGACGAGAAGCTTTGACTAGTAGAACTAATAATAATATTCAAAGGTAACTTAGGTGTCATCTTTCCGGGAGCACGATTTGACAGCAAGGTCTAGGTAGGGTTCAGATAGCTCTCTGGCCGATATGACAGATGGTTGCGGCGCCGACAACAGCCTGTACAACATCCGGATGAACCGCGTGTTTTGTTCCGGATATTCTATGTGGAGTGCTCTAAGAATTGTTCGAGATGATCCCTTCATCTCTTTTTTACCATTGCATCTTCCGCCACCAGAGCAGAGTTCAGTTAGGTATGGTATCAGGAACCGCTGCATTCAACCGAAGTACATTTCTAGAGACCCTTTTTGGCATGTACTATCTATCTCTGGAATGAACTCCCCTCTGTAGTGTGACATGTCCTTCTCCAAACACAGTTTGCGCAGAGGCCACAGCAGTAGGCTGCCTTGTGGCTGCGACCCTGGCATTTTTGACGTCCAAGAGCAACGCAGAATACTTATGATCAGATGGGCCTTTCGCTCCTCTGCCAACAAAGGCAAAAAATAAACACATCGCCTTGTCAAACGACCCCGGTCGCTCAACAACCCGCGTTTAGGCCTCTGCTGAAAGTTTATCCAAGGCAAACTAGTTAGTGGTAAGGTCACTCCTATGCGGAGATCCTGAATGCGGAGGTAGCATAATTATTCACCCTTTATGACCAGGATTGGACGCTTGTCTGAAAGAGCGACTGGTTTATTTGGTAACGTTTCTAAGGATCTAATTTTTCGGGATTTATGTCCTGACTCAAAAATCTTTTTCTGATAATATTGCGTCTAATTTTTTATCAGGTGCTGAATATTTTATTTCTGATAGGGATCTAAAAACAATATGAAAATTTAATTTAAATGAAATGAAAATATATATAAATGAAAATTTAAATCTGAAATTTTAATTATTTTGTAGGTAACTATTTTCTAACATAAGCAGAAGAACGCTTGTCTGCTTCTAAGCGACAAATGTTGTTTTCAGTAAAAATAAATAGACGATCTGTAGAATTTTCAATAAAAAACAAAATTGGTACCATTGTTGATCTCACATTATACTCTAGGCCATTTGGGCCATCGTTTGGTTTAGACCAAATATACAAATGACTTACCAGCACATGACACATGCATCTTTCCTTTAAAAATTACAAGAAAAGGGGGAAAGGAAAGGGGTGCTCTAGACTAGTGTAAAATATATTATGATAGAATTTCTAGATTTAATTTATATAATATAGAGTAGGCAAATTATACCGTCGTCAACCGACCTTCGCGATTTTTGGTCACAATAAACTACAGCTAATTACTTACATTCTGAAGGTTAACACGCGAATTATGTTGCGAAATTAAAACCGCATTTCGTGCGCTTGTTGTCCATTGAATAATTGTATTCGTTTATATAAATTTGTCTGTTGGTTAACTTGCAAACTGTTTGTACCTGTCCATTGTTCTTTACAGCTTTGCTCCAGTTCGAAAACCAATCGCGTTTACAAAAGAAGTTCTGCTTTCGAATTTATTTTAAAAACATTTCTTTGTAATTTTATTATGTGTTGATTCATGCTGTTCTAGAAATTTGGGCTCGGTAGGTACGCTCAAGGCGCAGCATACTTTGGTAGTTATTTTAGCGGTGGTGACGTGCAGTGGCTTTTCAGGTAGCTAGCTGTTGGAGCATATAGGCAATCCTTTATCCCCGTTAACGTAGCAGCAGTTCGAAGTTTCTATTACGTTTATTTATTTTAAATTTAAATTGTCTAAAAATTAAGCATGCACAGTATGTATTGAGTAATATCTTAATTTAAACTTTTTCAACTATTTCATTTTATAGGAAAAGAAAAGGCACAATAATGAATGAACCAAATGCGAGATTAAGTCTTCAGGTAACTTGAAATCTATTCGTGATTGTCCCATTTTCATAGCTAACTAGTTCAACCCGGCTCGTTTTGCTGCCCGATCTTTGATTTGCCTTGCATCCTATCACTACCAAACTCAACAGCATCACCCCCTGGAAATATTTCGGAGTTTTAAGGAATGTACACATATCGACTTTTATGTGTATATAGTAGTTTAAATATTTATAGTAGAATATCTTCGATCATATATGATCGAAGTAGAATATACACAATAAGGCTGACTCGTAGCCGACTGAGTGGTCTCGCTTGATCTTCTCAGTGGGTCGCGTTTCCGGTCCGGTGGCACATTCTGCGAAGCACGGCTCTTGCTAGGGTTCGTGTTAGCAACAACGTCAGGTTTGAACCCCGTGCGCACACCTACTCGCCCGGTTACGCTGACATAGCCTCTCAAGGCTATCAACTTAGGTAGGAGAAAAAAGCTGACTCGGTGGCGCCGTAGTCAGTGCCCCTGAGTGGTACGAGGGTCGTAGGTTCGATTCACACATCGAGCAAACGTTCGTGTGATGAGTAATTTTTTTCTGCTTTTTGCCTGGGCGTTTATTCTCTACACATGTTTGTATTTAAACATATTTAAGTATGTATGCTAGTCGCTGGTACCTACAGCATAGGGAATCTTAATTTGGGGCCGGATGACCGTGCGTGATTTGTTGCCAGTTATTATTATAAGTTATTATTTATTATTGTATAGACATACAGGGTGTAACATAACGAACAGTGCCCTACATAGAAAAAAGGAATAATGTATGTTAAGCGGAAAACAATATTTATTTGTTAAGTTAGGTATAAAAACACTTATAATTTTAGTAACTACTTAAAGTTAAAACGCAATGCAGAGTGAATTGGATCTTTTGGACCCTATACTCAAGTCCTAGGCTAAAGTACATTTACGTTTCTAAGGTAAATAAATACAAGCACCATTAAATTCGCTGTTCCATGTTTGAACGTTGTGTAGGGGTTATTACATAATGTCAATAGGTTCTGGTAACTGCGCAATACCAGGAGAATCGTGAGCTCGGCAGCCTATTTAATTACAGCAAAAAAAAAAAGAAAAAGTAATCGATGGTTTGCAAACTCGTTCGCTTAACTCTGCCTTAGGTATATTCAAGTCTTAACAATCTATCCACAGAGAGAGATGTGAACAATGTGTCAATAAAACGAAGTTACCTAAATTAAGTATATGACCAAATTGAATTTCATTATCTGCAATGATGTAGGAAAATTTCTGTGATACAAAACGTTGTTAATTTTATTTATCTGTAGATAAAATGTTACCTACTTTGTGCCGTGGTTGTGTAAGTTTATTTTTTATATAATGTATTTGAAATAAAATAAATTATTTAGAGCGTATTTTATTTCTGAACTAAGTATGTTTTTGAAAACATCATTTTAAACGGATGTTGATTGTTAGTTAGTCATGCACAATTTATTTCAAACAGAAAAAGAATATAAGGTAAATATATAGTATATATATAACCATAACAAATTACAGGAAAATAATGCAAACATTTCAATTTTAACGTAATAATTTAAAGAGAAAAATAATGTTTTAAAATATATAGGTGACGTCTCAATAAATAAGCTAAATAATATATGTAGATATATTTAAAAAGAAATACCTAAAACGTCATGTAATAACTTAAACTTATAAAAAGGATGACATAATTACAAAGAATCTCTACTTAAGTCATACAAAATGTCTTAGGAATACTATACAGCTAATATCGAAAGTAGCCATGTCTATAGTTACTGTTTGGGTCATGACAATTTAGTTGTTTGAAAAAAAAACACGAATGAAGAGTTGTAGAAGAAAGTAGATTTCTTTTATTGCCCTTTTAGGCATACGAGCATACGGCCCACCTGATGGTAAGCGGTTATCGTCGCTCATGGACGTCATTAATGCCAAGCCGTTGCCTATCAGATTCAAGGCCCGAATTTAACCAGCTTTATTGATAATAATCATGATTACGTTGTTACCGAGTAAATTTTAGTAGAATTTGGCAGATATTTCTCGTCACATGGCACTTTGTTTTTATCGCTAGCGATAACCCAACCAGTACATTAAGATAAAAACAGAGGAAGACTGGCCTTAATTATTTTACAGATAATCTATTAAAATACCCCTATTAATTTAAATCAACATTATTGGTACATACTCGGTGCTCTATCTATTTATCTAATGATTACGAACACTGACGTCATGTTTCTTAACAACCTTGATATTATCTTTGGTGAATTTGCAACGATGCAGTTGCAGTTTCAACATTCTCACTTATTTTTATTACGACCGAGTAACTTATCTAAGAAACTTCTCTTCCTTTTTAATTTATTGGGAGCCTTCTTGTGATTCTCCAAATCTTCACCTTCTGCTGTCATTTTCTCAATGAGTTTTGGAATGGTTAAATCGATTACTTCCAGTGGCTTCCTGTCGTGGCTAGTTTGGCGCTGTAATGACGAAAGCTCAGGGACACGATCGTTTTTCTCTTCTAATTCGCTTTCAGATATTTTACTGTCATCGTCATTTGCAACATTTGTTAAGGTTTGTGGTCCATTTTCAACAGCATTAGGTTCTATTTTGTTTTCAATGGTTCCATTCGTTACCGTAACTATCTCCACAATCTCTACATTGTTTTCGCTTTTATCAAACACATCATCTTCTCCAGACTTCTCACTTTTATCGTTGACATTCGTTTTTTCGACACTGTCAACACTTTCTGCGCCACTGGATGTGGATTTAGGGACTGACCCAATTACTCTGGGTCTAGTTGGTGGAATGGTCCAGTCAATAGGCTTACGTTGGGGTGAATATCTTTTCACTAAATCTTCAAAAATCTTTTGATGGTCTACCTTACTGGGGGAATGATTGTTAGTACAGGTGTTTTCAGTAGTATCAGGGGTGTCATTTTGTTCTCCATTCGTTTCACTGGAATCCAAATCCACTCTCACTTTTCTTACCGGTGTTGGTGTCAAATAAGGTTCGGCAAACGGAAATTTATACAAATTGGGACTCTCTATTTTGTATTTTATTGGCGACGTACTGTTAGTCGGCATCGATGCCCGTGCTCCACCTCTGTACAAAGGACTTGTGCTTGGCTCATGTAAATTAGACGACATAAAATCCTTCCGCATTTTTGACAGGCGTCTTGTTCTTTCCGTCATCGAGTGCCGGTAGTCCACATCATCGCTTTGGTTTAGTTCTGAAGTAAAATTATCTGAGTATTTGCGAGGTCGGAAATCGTAGGTCCGTTCGTCAGTTTTTGATTCTCGCATACTGGAGTAGCCCGGTCCGTTTCGCTTAAAATTCGTCGTTGTTTTACCGTGGTTGGATGTGATTATTGGCTCCACCTCTCTGTAGGACGGCAAAGGCGTCGTGGGCGACGGCAGTGGTACGTAATCCACGTCTGGTTTGTCGAACACTTCGCGCCGCTGACTGAACTGCTCTACACCGATCACTTCACGGAATTTCAAGCTCACTGTTGGCGATTTAGCTGCCATTATTATTTGATTAAAACCACAAAACACAATAATCTTTAATTTTCCTGTTAACACTGTATTTCTATTTTTGCACGATACACATTATGACTTCACCGGTTAGTTTGCGTCTATAACACAGAACACGAGTTCACGGTAAATTGGACAATAAAGGTGATCCGGCCGTCGCGTCGGTACAAGGCGTCCGTTCGCAATATGTGGCGAGTGATCAATAGAGTGGATGCGATAAGATACGGGCGTCGTGCGGCTCGGCACTTTAGTTATTTCTTTATCTTTTCAGTCGAAACAGTTGAGTAAATATAACACTGACTGAACAATTGTGTAGGTACGTAATTAATAGCGTACCGAGTGAAAGCGCGCCGCGCTTGCCGCCGTTCGCACGAGCGACTCATTACATAATGATATATTCAAAACAAACCTTCCGCCGAATACGATAGACCCACTTAACAAAATGCATGTCTTTAAATACCTCGTTTAGATCTATTTCCGTTATAAGCAATATGTACACAATGTCAATATATTTATCATTAATTACTAAATACATAAATAGTTGTTTACCAAATAAATTGTCATAATTTTCCTGCTAAAACCAAGACCTGATTGTGATCATCTTTGGTTGTACAGACTGCACGACATCGGGAAGTTTCTTTACACGTGTCTACTTTCTGCTTAACAATTATAGCTACTCGTACATTGACATAATGACGAATATCGTCTGTGAGTTGAGAGTTATGCCACCCATTCGAATCGGTCGATGGACCGTTAGAACGAAAATTGTTCAAGTACTGACTGCGATGCAACCGGATTTCCATGAGCAAAACGTACAGCGGAATATATTATTTACCTATTTGAGGTTCATAAACTCCATAATAATATACGACTGTCGCTATGTAGCTACCTACTTATTTCTTGGTTTGGCGATGACGTCAACTGCTGGCGGAATATACATTTACATTTATTGACAGTAATCAATACTGTTATCGGGCACTTATAATGAAAAATGTCTTTTTTACTTTTTCCAGTCCTCCGATTTTGAGAGTACTGATTTGTCAAATTTTCATTTCGTTTCTTTCAGATTTTAAAATTCTGTGAATTTCTAGGGGATTTAATTATATAGACTGCGGATGTTATAATACACGTACATGTACAATCTCAATGAAAACAGAGATGTTAATTTAGCTAACAAGTGAATTTGCACGTAGTTGTCACAGATTGCTCGGTTGTGCATGTTTGTACTACTCTATTATTAGTATGTCAAATAAGTACGTATGAAGTTTGAATTTGGAATGGTATTTATTCTACACCATTCTATTACCAGTATACGTTAAATCCTAATTTAAATAGAAGTTTAATAAGACAAAGGTGAGACTTAGGTCAAAAATGTTTCGCTGTTATGCCCTGTTATCTTTTGATAACACGTTAAATCCGCATCATGTGTTATTTAGCTTCTATCTATACTAGTATATAAAATATCGGTATAATGTACCTTTTCATTTCATTAGTGATTTTCATAGATTCTAAACACATTTATAAGCGACTAGCTGTACCCGTCCGCTTCTCTGGGCATTTAAAATTAACATTATTATTTCTCACCCCCACCTCAAAGATTCTCATCATTAACGTCTCCTATCTCATGTAGGGAGTCCAACGCGCATATAAATATTAGCCTATCCATTAAGTACATGTATTTTCTACATGGATACCAAGCTTCAAGTCAATCGGATGCATGGTTCAGTAGTTATAACGGAACATCCGTAAAAAACACTGTAGATTTATATATTAGTATAGATTAAAATTTTTGAACCTGTTTTGTTATTAATTTTTTAAAGTTACCAACTCTTGATATGAGGTTGAAGTCTACGTTTTATTGTACAACGGCTTCACCCCTCAAAGCGGATCGAAATTTCCTTAGCAAATATTTTGATTAAGTTAAGTTTTAGGAAGTGATTGGCTCTATTGTCGAGAACACTAGAGCGCGCGAGCGTGTTGACAAGCCGCAACCTTGCTACCCGTTACATATTTTGTCGTCTGCAATCTGTTCTATATGTACCTACTCATTTAAGCTTATGAGACAAATGTTGACTATTTCATATTTATAATTAATGACTACTTCTTTTTTAATGTCTTTCTGGTTATATCTAAAGTAAACCATGCAATTTATGTTTTTTTTTGGTTCAGGACGCTTTTCACAATATAATTGGTACACTTTACGGTTGATAAAGCTGAAATACAGCAGAACCCAGCGCCAATAAAATAAACTCACAATCATACCGTAAAAGTTTAATATTCAAATTTATTCTTAAGTAAACCAATGAAGATGTTCTAAAAATATCAAACAAATATCGTCCCCAAAAATATCATTGCTTTGTTACCATTTGAAACGATACATATTTGTTTCATTTCATTGAAACTTGTTCCTTGTAATATTCGAATCTTTTCATTGAGAACACACCACACTGGATCTGGTCTCGTCTATTATTCAGACTTTGAGGGGGCCTGCAGAAACTTCCGTGCATTCAAACGACATTGTAGCATAGGACGTCCTAAATTAGATCCACGTTTTAAATCGCATTCTAGTTTAATAAATGAACCGCGGTCCACAGTACTTTTAGTTAAGCTTTCTTCGACTGCATCTCGTCTCAATCTCTGGTTCATTCGTCTCTTATTTTTCATTATCTCCCAGTTTGCGAACATTAATGTCTGAATCCAAATTGTTACGCGTCTTATTGTCTTTTAATAAATTACGTTGTAATAAGAAAAATTAGGTTTTCTCTCAATTAGCCTGAATCTTATCGTTGTCTTTTAGTCTTCGCAACTGTGAATTCCGAGTAAGAAGGAATTGCAGTTGCGAAAAATAGTGACGGGCAACCTAAATACGAGTACAAGACGTAAAAAAATCATGTGAACTCTTGCCTGAACTAAAGATCAGCAAAGATCATAAAGATCAGAATGTTGGTGTAGCATAGCTAACGTGACCATACGGCCCGCTTTGGGCGGGTTTGTCTCGCTTTCAGACTGTCCGTCCCGCTGTCCCCAACGAGAACAAAAGTTCCGCTGTCATTTATCTGTTGTGCATGTGTTTATTAGAAACTTACCGAATACTTATTTATCCCAAATCCTTATTGTATTACAAAATACATACTAAAGTAACTAATTTTGCCGTAGAAAAGTATTTTTTTGTTCCGAAATTATTTATAAATATTATTTTAAGGGCAAGTTGGTGTAAGAATTCAAATGTCAGTTAGGGTAAGATACCATAATAAATTATTTCAAGGCATTTTTTAAACCATATTTTTTATTTTGCACTTAAATATTACACCTTACCCCGACGTACCTTAAATATGTATTTATTTATATACGAAATTCCGTAGGCGTCCCGCTTTGACACGAACAAAAGGTCACGTTAAGCATAGCGAGCATTTCAAGAGCATTTCCATAGGTCGCTGGTTCATATCCGGCTCGAAGGACCATATGTTGGCGCCGTTGCGATGGATGTTGGGTGCAAGGCTTATACGAATAAAAGTGGACTGTATTTAAAGCTGGTTTAATAATCGGATCAAAGTTAATACAGTTTTACGGGACCGACAATGATTGATGCTTTTTCGTCGATGCACGTCGTTTTGTTCTGTAAGTCCACGCCTCTCCCCCGCTTCCCCGCGGTGAGGAAAATAGGGTTGCTATGTTTCGAACAAGCCAAACACATTTCAGTAGGTAAGTCAAAATGTTATCATGCGAATAAATTGAACGCAATGTCTCTCATCAAAAAGTCAAAAGACCTAGCGCGTAAAAGTCAATAGACCTCGCGCGTGATACGTGGGTAGGTTACCTTGTTAATACCATTTGCGGAAACCATGTTTTGCTATCGTTAATCTCGGTCACACATACATAATATGTCGCAATTCTTAACGTGAAATCAAAATACCAAAGCCCGATGCAAGTGGAGTTCATTAACAAGTTGTTGGGCGTGTGGTAATATTACGACATACTGATGTGATATGGACGGGTAGTAATAAAATAGCGATTTCGTAAATCTAAACAAGCGGAAGACACATTAATTAGGCAATCACGAGGTTGCAATTGAAAACGTAACGTCAATATATTTTTAACCAATTACATATTGTTTTTTTAACGGATCAAATTATTTCTGCCTAACTGTGCAGTGCTATACCCGAATGGGGTTCCAAACACAAGTTTTTAATTAATTTTGTAATTTTTATTTGATAAGTTGTTTTTTCTTTTTTCTATTTGTTTTTGGAAATAAAATGGGCTTATTATTATTATTATAACTTTGCAGTGCAAACCATCTTCTTGATTTATTTTGCTACTAGACTGTTTCGTTCAACCTACGGCTCAGTCGGTGTTAAATATTTATCTTGAGATATTAGGTTTAAATCCAAATTGTACAGTAAATGTCGGTTCCACCCAGCAAACTGGAACGCCTGACAGGCAGGCTGATGTTTCTACCAGTGCGGCCTTAGAATACGTTCTACTACAAGTAATTAAGTGCCCATGGCTTATGATTTTTTTTTATTGCATAGATGGGTGAACGAGTTCACAGCCCACCTGGCGTTAAATGGTTACCGGAGCCCATAGACATCCACAACGTAAATGCGCCACCCATCTTGAGATATAAGTTCTAAGGTCTCAAGTATGACAACGGCTGCCTTACCCTTCAGGCCGAAACGCATACTGCTTCACGGGAGAAATAGGCAGGGTGGTGGTACCTACCCGTGCGGACTCATAAGAGGTCCTACCACCAGTAAAATATCCGTATCGAGAAATACGACTATGTAGGTGCTCTATTCCTGTAGTAGGCACTATATTTCCTAAGTAAACACATATTAATATAATATAAAATAATAGGTTGTGATGACTATGAGCTTCGACAGCGCCATTGTATCAGGAAGGCTACTACCACGTCTTGCTATCCCGTAACAAGAAATTAATTGCATTGTTTTTGTTTAAGAGTGTCCAAAACAATGTATGTATCGGAAACAGATAGAAAATAACGATTTGTCACATAAAATTTAGCGCACTGTTTCTTGGCTAGCCTTAGTAAAAAATATCATAAAAAAATATATCTCTGATCGCGCCAAGTGATACGCAGCGTTTAAATCATACTTTGGTATAAAACAGGATACGTTAACCTAACTAGGATTGTGAGTCATACCAAGCTACATATTACAGTCGAATATTAGGTATATGAAACGTGTATGAGGCTGCGAAGTTGATCAAATTTGACACGGTCTGTTGGCACAATCATGTCCTTCCTCTGTATCAAGCTAAAAAAAGCATTATGCGGGAAAAAGAACTGTAATTTGATTATATGTTTTTATGTATCTACTGCTGTTGCTTAGGTTTAGTAAAAATTGATTTAGAGAATTTAATTTG